ACTACTACTACGATTACTACGACGACGACGACTACTACTACGACGAGGACTACTACTACTACTACTACTACTGGTACGACTACGACTACGACTACGACTACGACTACGACTACGACTACGACTACGACTACGACTACGACTACGACTACGACGACGACTACGACGACGACGACGACTACGAGTACGACTACGACTACGACTACGACTACAGTCGTCCGCACAACAAGCCCTCAGGGCAAGGCCCGGTTGTTGGTCAGGCGTGGTGCGGGCTGGGCGTCCCGGCGGGCTGGGCTCATGATTGTTGCACATGCGCAGCGATTTGAGCACTTTGCCAGATTGGGAGCTCTTCTTGATTTTGCTTTTGATTTTCTTGATTGATCCTCGTGCACGAATATAATCCTAAAACATTTTTTTTCATCCACCACCGTTGCAACGCCTCCGGGCAAGCTTGCGCGATACGTGTTTGAACTGGACCTCGCGACTGCGAGTTCCCCCAGCCGGCTGCCGTTTGCTCGTGCTCCATAGGGGTCTAGGCAGGGGCAGTCGATAGGACCATTTGCCGGACGCAATAAGGCGCGAAAAAAACAAAAAAACAATACGAGTGCGATTTGATGCGCACTGTTTTCCTTCGCCGCCCTTTGCTCCTTGTGGGCATAATTACACACACTTTTGGACTAGCTTCCGAAAAACTACGAAATTACGAGTAAGAACAAGTATTTGTTCATGAATAGCCACAGGGGCTGCTACCATCGTGTGTGTCGGATGTTGTTGAACGTGCAGGAAATATTGCGCATTGTGTGGCTGGCCGATGCATGTGGGACCCGTAAATAGACTTTGCGGTAACAAAAAGCGCTGCGTGATCGCAGCGGTCTTTTGGTGGTGTGCAAAAATAGTTGTTGTGTTTCTTCGTTTTTGTGGCTCAAGGTGTGCAGGGCTTGCGAACAGACCTTCCCAAACCCACACCAAATAAAGTCAAGCCGAGACAAAACTAACCTCAAGAACGCAGATGCACCCAGCATGATATGCATTTGTACGTGTTCAATCGATACAGTGTCGACGTCGCGATGGCGGTTGGTACCACCATGCCGAGTGAAGGCAACACCTCAACCAAGGCACTTTGTGAAAACCAGCTTCGAGCAGATGCATCGTTTGGTTTGCAGTCGCATGCATGAGAGTGCCAGGAGAGCCATTCGCCCCTCGACGTGTGCAGTTCTCCAGTTTATCAGTTATGTAGTGCATATGTGTCGCGATGATGTACTGTCCTTTGCTTTTTGTTGCTGCAAGGATGAACGGATCTTCTTCGAAGGGTTATGTGGTGAAAAGCGCTGTCGCAGACAAGGGCAATGCCTTGTCCCATCCTCTGTTTCGGCCTCTTGGATTCACGACATGTGCGGCCTGATGTCACAATGACATGTGCGTTGCCATGTGGTTCCAGCTGACAAACTGCTGCATCGACGTTGTCCAGGCGAGCGGCGGAAATGGCAAGCAAGTCAGTTTTTGAAAGCAGCCCAGAGAAAAGCTTCTTGCCTTGATTCAGGGCTTTCCTATGTTTGCCGACTTTTCTCGGTTAGTAGCCATTGCGCCATTGCATAGGTCGCCAGGGAACCATGCCGTGTTTGAATGCGTTTGCAATCGTTTTATCAGCGAGCCCTGGGATGGCCGGTAGCAGAGCTGCGCTGTGCCATGGTTGGTCATGCCGACTGGTGAGATGCCAGAAGTCGCGCAACTAGATGGAGCACTTGCAGATGATGCAGTGCGAAGCACAGCGCAGGACCTGGACTGCACATCCCCAAGTGCCAGCTCGACGATGCCCATGGAAGACATGAGGGAAATCTTAACAGCTGTCACTCAGCATTCCGACCTGGCGACGGCATTGCGGCAGAAAGGGCAAGCAGGACGAGCTGTGCGCACGCTGGAACGGGCGGTTGCCATGTGCGCGAAAGCTGAGCAAATCCACCCCGCCATTGCGGTAGAAGCAGCGCGGGCACGTGTGAATTTGGCAGCTGCTTTGTCCGAGGCGGGCGGCTTAGTCTACTTGCGTAGGGTGGCGACATGTCGTTTGCCTGAAGGCGGCTCGTCATCGAGAAGCCATCGCCCACATCAGGAAGGCCCAACGTGGATTAGATCAAATTTTGGCATGGGCAGAACAGTGTGGTGATTCTGACACTGGAGCGACTTGACTGCATCTTTTTTTCAACTAGCACGCTTTTGCTTAATTGCCTCTGTCTGCCTGTTTCTCTCTGTTTCTCTCCGTTTCTCTCTGTTTCTCTGTGTCTCTTTGCGTCTCTCTGTGTCTCTCTGTCTCTCCCTATCTCTCTTGTTCTCTGCCTCTCTCTCTCTCTCTCTCTCTCTCTCTCTCTCTCTTTGTCTCTCTTTGTCTTTCTCTCTCTGTCCTTCTCTCTGTTCCATTTTGGTTTGCAGAATTTTGTAGTCGCTCTGCTATGAAGGCCAAGCAGATTGCAGGCGAAGCTTCAGCTCTTCGCTGTGCTGCGCTGGTCGCAGAGTCGATCGAACTAGATCTTTGCCCAGGCAAAGCCAGAGTTCAGTCACCAGTTAGACGTTTAGCGGCCTTACAGCTCACTTATTTGGAGGTGCTGCTGCTGACTTTGACATGCCTTTGAGCGAAACGACTATGTTGCGCGAAACGCTGACACCGAAGAACCGAACCGTGACATGGCTGCAACGGCAGCAGGCTTTGTCGTGGCCTCCAAGTAGCATGCCATGAACGCAGGTGAGCTTGCCGCAGATCGGACAGAAAGCTCGCAGAGAGAAGAAGATACGCAAGGATGACAAGGCTTCAAAGACCCATCTTCCCGGCGCAGCAAAGTCTTCAGGCAGGATTCCGAAGTTGATAGCTCCCTGGTTCGCGTCACCACTAGCCACTAGTAAGTAGTTACGGTAGTTCTTCGACGGCTCCATCATGCCGCATGTTCAGTCTGGCATGGGGGGTGATTATGTTTTGCCGAGATGTGGTCGGCGAGAAGCGGCAACCGGTGATCAAGCTTTCGCTACGGCCACGAGCTGCAGAGGAGCGCACCGATGTCTTCAGCGACTTCCTTCGACTCTTGGTAGATCCACTTTGATGTTGGAGTTGGCATGTGCCGTGCATTTGACTTGAGGTGGTGTGGAGGCTGAGGGTGTGGCCCGCCTTGGTGCTCTGAATGAGCCTTGGTGGTCTGAGCTCCTGCGAAGGTCGTTTATCCCCAGCTACGAGTCTCTAGTAGGCTTAGGACGCAGCTCGTCGGACTATAATCCCGCTGAGGACAATTGGGAGGACCAGGCGAAGCGGCGGTTGGGCCAAGTCCACCGCAGGAGCGAGAAGGCATGCATGTGAGAGGTTCGAGGGTACCTGACACTCCACTTGAACCGTCTCTACCTGCATGGCAGCGACGGTACCGTTGGGTAACGTTGATACTTCAAATGTAATCACGTGCCAGACGATGAAGGACGCGTCTTCAGTTGGATTTGATGGGTGACAATGACCTCAAGGCCGCATTCTGCCATGCGGACTGCATGTTCAACCGACATCGTCAAACATGGGAGCTGTTGACAGGAGAAGCGTTACACTAGCACTGGCCACCAAGTCTTCATGAAGGCAACTAAGCTTGTTTGCAGCAGGTCACTGTTGGCAGAGACTGGATGTGCGGCACATGTCTGGTTGGACAGGCCATGAAGAAAGCCAACAAAAGCTGGAGCGATCCGGCTTTGTTACAGGAGGCCGCCAAAGAAAATGCGACGCCGGAGATCCTTCAGGTACGAAAAATGAATCGTCAGCTCTATGTGAAGCCGCCAACGCCACCGCCGCCGCCTCCACCAAAGCCAAAGATGGATCAGTCGCTGGTCAACAATCTGCGTTCCAATCATGGGAGGCTTGGGTCCAAGACTGCTGCTTGTTTGCTAGTGTACCTGAGTTTGCAGACTTTTGTTACATGCTTCTTGATAAACTCTTGATGCCAGGTCCAGCATCAAGGGTGAAGCGTGATGCCTTCACAGTTTCACAGATGCCTTTGCAAAAGCAAATGTGTCTAGTAGCCAGAACCAGAATCCAGCTCGAGCAAATTTGCAAAGTGAAATGCAAGCCAAGCAGTTGCAGCTGTGGCATGTAGGGACTTACATGACATGCTTTGACATTGCGCCATGCCCGAGTGTGTCACCAAGGTAAGGCATATTGCAGCTCCAAGAATGAGCCTGACGCCGTCGCCAGCGAAGCGCGATCTCTTTACTAGTCCTTCGTTGCGGTGAGTCCTGAAACCAAAAAATTCTTCCCCTGAAGGCTCCGGTTGTCTATGAAAGCCAGCCTTCACGACGGACAGTGGATGCGTGCCACACAGATGGCTCTCAAACGGCGGCTGCAAGGCATGGCCCCAAGACAATGTTGTTGTGATCCAGGTGATCTCGAGTGGATGTACGCGAGCCCAGAACATGTCACATCACATTGTCCGTGTTCCCTTGCCCCACTTGTGTTCGAGATCACGATAAACGCCACTTGCCACTGACGCCCCACCCGCCCTACTTGGCCTTGATTCAGCTGCAGGTTAGGGTTCAGGCTTTTAGGCTTTTGGGTGTTGCGATTTAGGGCAGAAGGGATTTAGGGCATTAGGGTTTTAGGGGCCTAGGGTTTAGAAAACATGGGTTACGGGATTTACAGGTGAATGGTTTTCGCGATCCAGCACCAGATGACTCTGTTCGAACGATGAAAGTCGGTCACAGTTGCATAGGGCCACCCAGAGAAAAGGGTTTAGGGTTTGCTGAAAAAGGAGGGCACAAGTGGCGACAGCGGGGCAAGTGGGGCGCGAGTGGGGCAAGTGGGGTGACTGGGGCCACCCCGAATAGTTTTACGGGGCGAGCAACTGGGGCAAGTTGGTGCGAAAGGCGAATTCAATAACTTGGTACTGTACCTCAAGTGGTGGCCATGCACCGTCACATCATGCAATTTGCAAGGACCCTCATTGAGAGTGCTGCAGATGCCGCGGCGATGGTTTTTGAACCTCGGTTTTTGTGTTGACTACGCATCTGTGCGTCTTTACACGCGCGTGTCGGCCTCTGCAGTTCCCAGGAGAGTACACCGGTTTCGGCTTCGGCCGACGCCTCGTCGAGCCATGGTGCTGCTCCCGCGGAGTCCATGGTTTTTGAGAGCAAGCCGCAGGAGTCCAAGGCGAGGACTGGGACTCTCGGTGGCTGTTGGACAATGCAGCGAAATGTGACGACAATCGTTTCTAAATGCCTTGCCCTAAGCCTGTTGCTAAGTGGCATGCGTGTCAGCCATTGAACGATTTCCTGCATATCGCCGTGGCTATACGGCGCCCTATGCTTGCAGTACATGCTTCGGCAGCAAGAACTTGAAACAGCTTCCCTTCCATACACGGGGTTTCAATGCATTGTTTGTGTGGTTCTTGGCGTGCGGTACTGTTGGTTTTCTAGCTGTCAATGTGCAGGCAGATGCCCTGCACAGGGCTGGTGCCGGGCTCGGCAGAATCTAGCCCCTGGCTTTTTCGCGATAATCTGGTTTGGTTTAAGCTGGTCGTTGACCCCAGGTACAAGAACCGCAGCAGATGCTGAGGAGCTTATTCAGTTCCGTGCTTGGCACTGGAAAACCCTTGAAGTGTCTGCACATTCCGATTTGAAGCAGGTCAGCTGCAGATTTGTGGACCTCCGGCCAGAACCTTGTGTGACTCGGATGCCCATCAGACGTCCCCGCGGTCCTATCAACACCAGCGACCAACATCCCCGTTGGCGATGTGTCGCCAGGTACGAAAACACCCCTGCTGCCAGCGATGCAAACGTTTCACATGCATCTTTGCTCCAGGCCGGCCTGAATCCAATCTATTGGCTTTTTGCAGCTGCAGTGGGGTAGGGCACATGTGCACATGGATGTCCTCGAGTTGCGGTAGTCGGGGGGGGTTTTGTGGTGTTGGGTCATGTGACATTGTCAAGACACGGCTCAGTTGGTGATGCCGTTGTGGAAGCAGGCACCCACGTCGTCGGTCTATGAGAGCAGTCCTGCTGCTTCACGTGCTGACGAAGCCTCGGGAAGCCTGCAGGGAAGTGTCGCAAAAAGAGCTCATTGTCAAGACGGTCCTTCGCGACATTTCTTTTCCAGCTGGCCGCGGCGGCTGAGGATTTCATCAGTGGGAATGCGTGCCTGGCAGACTCTGCGAGGACAGATGCTTCTTGAATCACTTCCAGCCCTCCTGCCGGGTTTGCTGCAGGACGCTGATTGAAGATGCTGCCGCGAAAGCAGAGCTCACAATGCCGAAGCCAAAGACACCATCTGCGGTTCCTCGCCAGCGTTTTGTGTTATCAACATGCAGTAGGCCAAGGCAGCATTATTTACCTGGTTGCCAACGCCTGAACACGGCTGACGCTTCGAGAGCGTTGCAGATTGGGTTTGTTTCCTGGTCAGCACAAGATTTTTGCTGTTGGTTTGGACTTTGTTTGTAATGTTCGGCTCCAGGGCCTAGAGGTGAAAGCTGCTTGAAAGCCTCGCAACTTGCAACGCCCCAAGCCCCGAAAGCCGAAAGCTTCAAAGCCAAAGTCATCAGCTTCTGTACAGTACGGTTTTCTGAGAAGGGTGTTCCCAAAGCTCTCAAAGCTCACAACTTTCGGGCCGACGCCGAAAAGACGCCTCGTCCCAACGTCAAAGCAGCAGCAGTTGTGCTTCTGGAGAATGGCACCAAAGTCTCGGAATTGCAGTCGGTTCCGTGCGTCACGTCATCTCAGACGCACGGGGCAATGGAGTGTGTCCTCGACGCCTGCAGCTTGCACAGGGAGGGTGGAGTTCTCCTGCAAGCGAGGGCGTGGGGCATGGTGGATGGCACAACGGAGCACAGGATGCCCAGAGGAGGACACAGGTCACGCTCAAGAGTCTTTAGCTGATGCCGATGATGCCTGGAGCATATTGCATGAAAGGGTGCCTGCCCACGTTGTTCCTGAGATGCATGATGACTCACCCGGCTTTGGTCCCCATCCCGGAGGATGTTGCCAAATCAGGGCCAGATACTACATCACACGGAAAGGGACAATACACAGCATAGGTTGGAGTTGGAGTTTGTTGCTGTCCATGGGCTAGTGCATGGTCCTTTCCCGAGCAAACTCGCCATGTCGCAACGACATGACCCGTGAAGACCCTTTCTTTGGCTATCCTCCGCTCCTAGCTGGGAGCCAGATTACTTATCATTCCAGCACAGTGTGAAGAGCCGCCATCTTTCAATCAGCTGCGCTTTCACATGCAATATTCAGCTAAACTGGATCTCCTTCATCAGGACAACCTTTAGACTTTAGACAACGATTTTTCGTTCGTGCTGTCAATGCATCCATGCATGAGCAAGCCAGGGGTGTCATTATCTTCTTTGACATTGTAGTGTACACAGATGGCTCTTCTAGCTGTTAGAGTCAACCCTGGGAAGAACTCTTGATCCATGTTGCTCACTTGGCGATGTCCTCCCGGAACTCTGTGACAATGCCAGAGAGTTTTCGTGAACGCATCGCCGGAAGAGAGCAGCAAGTGTCTCGTCGGTTATTCGCAGGCATGATTCGCTCATGCCCAAGCTGCTATTTATTTCGCAAATGAGCACCTGGATTTCCGCCGCCTGCACCTTGATCCAGTCCTTCCAAGACCTTCAGATACAAAAATGGAGATAAAGCGATACAGTAACCATATCGAAAACAGGCAGCCCTGGAGCGGCAAACAAATAATAACGGAGCATCATTCGCATATAGGTTGCGCACTGCGCACGCTGAGTGACCCATAGCATTGCCGGGCATGAGTGGGCATAGCAGCCTCCCCTACGGCTGTCGAGGTTTACATTGACCTACTGTATGCCTTGGAGAGGCACCAGCAAACACAGTTTTCCCAGTACATCGACATGGGAGAACCGGGGATCCTCAGACAATTATGTGTCTTGCATTCTGAACTCGGTGCCGTCCGTCTTTGCAATGAAGGGCGGATACAGCCTTTTACAAGCGTTCGTGGCGCTCTGTGCCATGAAATCGCATGGCGACCCGGGCTATTGTCAGTAGTCAGAACGTCGTCCAAGGCGGGTGAGTCGAATTCGTTATCGTGCTCGATTTCAACGGGTGCTGCATCAGGAGTATTCTCCTTACAGTACCAGTCTCTTTGAGTTGGCCTTGCGATGCTCAGCTTCTACAAAACCTTCCGTGGAATATGCTGTGCGCCTGCCGCCGGGCCCTCTCGGTGTGCACCGGAAGGTGTCAGCAAGAGCTCGTTATCGTTGGCTGCAAGACTTGCTGTGAGAAGGAGAAGCGGGACTGCAGAGGTAAACCCTTGACTGCATCTTTAATTAGGTTGGTACATGTTGGTACTTCTACTACCCTTGTAGCCCTTGTAGGACCTACGCTTCCCAAAAACAAGGCAGCAGCCGGCACCAATTGAGGATGTAAGACCTACAGTTTCGGTCTTTGGCTTGCTGGTCGATATTTGGCATGACCTGAGGCTGCTGCGAGGGCAACGGAAGCAAGAGACACCATTGAGAAAGTCGAACCTTGGCACCTACATGAGTTGTGGTATGCGCTTGCAACCTGCCGAGAACTGCCGAGGCTGCATCAGAGCTTTCAGTCGGACAGTCAGGTGCGGAGTCAAGCGCTGTGTGCTTGCACGACCGCGACCCTTCTTGGGAGAAGCTGAATCAATGCATGAGAAACATGCTTTCAGGAAGGGTGAGGGATCAATTGTCTAAGCCATTGTCTAAGCCATTGTTGCAACTCCTCCTTCATTTGTGGTCCGCTGGTGCGAACATCGCCGTTTTCAGCTCCGGCTGGTTTGCAGCTGTGGAGGTGCGTGCGTCTTTGAGAGCCAGCCGGCCGAGAGCATGGCATCAGCTTGCCATGGAAAAGATTACTCCAGCGGAGAAGAGGCAGGAATGTCTCGAGTTTCCAAGTTGTATTGTTGCCAGGACCGCAGTCTTTGTTAGAGAGCTACTGCTATGGTGCTGATCCACCGGCAGGGTGTCAGAGTGAGGATTCTCGCAGATGTGGCATCGGAATCCGCTCAAATCCCTGACTTCGTCTCTGTCTTTGTTGACAGCTGTTCAGTCGGCTAGCTCGCCCTTCGTGAGGCACAACATACGTCGAACATGCATAGAGAGCACCCCAAGATACTGGATCACCACTGCCGCCCCGAATTTGAAAAAAACATTGACAAGCAGTAGCTAGCTGGCCGCCGTCTGAATCGAACTGACCCGCAAACGTGTCACGATGCAGAACTGCCTGATGTGTTTTGGCGCAAGGTGCGCTGGAATGAAAATGCTTTTCCAAGATTCATTGGCAACAGCAACCGAACAGATCAAGAGGTTGCAGACACTGACACTCGTGAGATCTCGTGAGATTCAAGATCCAGGGACATGCAAGGAACATGCAGAGGAACCAAGCATGCGAGCCGTCCATGCTATTGTTTGTACCCGGTTGTCCGAAGAGAGCCGACAGGTGACCGATGATGAGGAGGAGGACACCAAGGCGTAGTCGGAGCCTCTGTCATGATTTCGACATTGTCGTAATTCTCCCAGCCAGTCTTGCTGTGCGAGTGCGGGATAGTGCGGGATGTCATTGGCCCCTCTGAGGTAGTGATGCTTGTGCGGCGGTTGCTTGTGATCGTATTGATGGTTGGTGGTTGCAGCTGTGGTTTTGGTAATGCTTTGGCCGTGTGTCTAAGGGAACAGTGAACACGTGAGCCAATGTGTCAGTGAGTGATTGAGTGAGTGAGTGTGTGAGGGAGCTCATCGGGTGGTACTATGGCTGTTGTCGCTTGTGGCCGTGGCTGTGACCATCATCGTCGATATTGGTATCGCCACTCCTACCCGGCCCAAAGCTGTCACCCCAAATTCAAAGGTTGTCGAATCTCTCGTGGACACCGTGACGATCTCCCGGCTGGGACCTCTGGCAAATCAGCTCTTGAGAGCATGTGCAGCATGTGTCATCGCACTCGAGACGGTCACAGTCTTGACCGCGCCTTCTGGAGGCTTCCGGTGACGACGGATGATACGCTGCTTTTTTCCATATACCATCGCGAGGTCATGTTGCAAAATGGCCCGTTGCCAATTCATGTGCGAGTTGCAAGCTTGATGTAACGATCAGTGCGGCAGTTTGCTTAAGAGCTTCGACGAGCTGGAGATAGCCGGTCCCATTCCAAATGCAGCACAGCAACTTTCCCAAGCTCTGGTTGAATACCGACCAGAGCAGACTTCTTCTCAGTAGGCCGACAAAGATTGGGCCGGACCGTGGTGTGTCTCAGTTGCACAGTGCTGGAGTGCCGTTGTGGCCCAATCTTGTCTTAGAATAAGGTGTTGAATTGCAGCTTTGCTTCGTTTCAGAGCCGGGAGCTGAAGTACAGGAGAAGATTCATCAGCCTTAAGGATGGTGTCAGGGCTGTGACAAGGCGTTGAGCTTTCCCAGGTTCCCAACTCCATGCTGGAGGCCTTGTTGTCTCGAGTAGCAGGGTGCCTCTGAGACGATTTCCGCAGAATCGCCTTGAAGCTTGCGCTTGCAGTTCGCCTCTTTGGGGACTCTGCCTCAATCCGTGCAGCTCACACCACGCACTGCGCGGACTCCTCGGGCAACTGAAGATCAGCCTCCCGGCTGGGAATGGGCTGCCGTTCTGGTGTGCACTTGCCCTTGAGTCAAGAAGTTCTGTCCGGCCATCAAGCCTCTGTTCAGGAATTCCTGGACGCTCCGGCAGCAGAAGTGGAAGGGTATTAAGGCACGTGCTGATTGACAAAACGGCAGGCTCCAGACGTTCATGGGACGCACCGACAAGCCTTTCATTGCCATAAGTGTTCCCGGCATCAGCACGCCCAGAAACAGCACGGAAGAGAAGTCCGCTACTCTGTAGTGGCTCCTGATCCAAGCTTCGGCATCGCCTGTGCTGCATGATACTGCGTGTCCGCTGTCGGCTCAAGGCTAGTAGCAGCAACAGTAGAAAACTGCCAGCAGTAGACAAGAGCCTTGTGCATCTCCAGGCTTTGTAGTATGATTTTTTTCGCAGAGCGACGACAAGGGGGGAGTTTGCATAAGGGTTTTGGTGCATGTGTTGCTGGGTTGCTTCTGATTCTCGAGGATACAGTCAGAAGAAACGACTTCCAACCAACTTAGCACGACTTCTAAAGCATTGATGTTGAAGCCGATAGAACTCTACCGACGGCAGAATTGCTGCAGCTTTCCGTTTTCCTTAATTCAGTTCTGCCTACGACAGCAATGTGCCGGAGTTCCGTGCAACTCTTGCTGAGGGTGTCTCTTCTAAGTGGTCGCACTCAATCTGTTGCTGCAGATCCGACTTGGACAGTGAAAGAGTTTTGTGCAAGACTGCAGCGTCTTCTAAAGCTCGGCATTGGTAGCCTTGTCACTACGAATAGCATCGCACCTCGCCGCAAAGAAAAGCTTCCTTACATTTGTCAAACCACTTTCGTGGATGTTGCTGCCACCTGTGTCAACCGTTTTTCAGACTGCCAGGTGCTGGAACCCACGAGCACTCTTGCTGATGCTGGATTGCAAGATGGTGATTTTGTCACTGCGCTTGTGCGGCAAGCTTCGCTTGCATCAGCGAGATTTTCTGCGTCCTTCGCGTTGATTCGGGCCGATGGCTCGGTGGTAACTTGGGGCAGTTCATGCATCGAGGATTGTCAGAGCAGCGTGCCGTTCGCCCAGTTGCAGGACGTGCACCAGATCCGAGCCTCTGACGATGCCTTTGCGGCCATTCTTCGGGACGGATGCGTGGTTACCTGGGGGATCTCAAAGCATGGAGGTGATAGCAGCACTGTGCAGCATCAACTGCAAGATGTCCAAGAGATCCAGGCATCCAAGTATGCTTTTGCAGCGATTCTCGGGAATGGAAGCGTGGTTACCTGGGGTTCGCCGAGCTATGGCGGCGACAGCAAAGCCGTTCAAGACCAGCTGCGCGATGTGGAGCAAGTTCAAGCGACCGGTGGCGCATTTGCAGCACTTAGAAGAGACGGTCGCGTCGTGACCTGGGGCACTGCGATCTACGGTGCAGATAGCAGTGCAGTCCAGGAGAAGCTGCGAAACGTCAAAGAGATTCGGGCCACGGCTTTCGCATTCGCTGCTCTTCTCCACAACGGGGAAGTGGTGACTTGGGGAGCTCCAATCTTTGGTGGCGACAGCAGCAAGGCCAAGGACGACCTCCACAACGTTAGGGCGATCGCCGCTTCCAATCATGCCTTCGCTGCCATTCGAGAGGATGGTCACGTGGTTACCTGGGGTGGTGCTGCATATGGCGGGGATAGCAGCCAGGTGCAGAATGAGCTCAGGGATGTTCAAGATGTTCAAGCTTGTGGCTTTGCATTTGCTGCGCTTCTCCGCAACAGGCGTGTTGTAACTTGGGGTTCAGCTGCCTACGGTGGAGATTCCAGCAGCGTGCAAGAGCAGCTGGCAGACGTGAGAGAAATCCATGCCTCAAATTTCGCTTTTGCAGCGGTTCTGGGGACTGGACGTGTGGTGACTTGGGGGAGTGCGAACCATGGCGGAGACAGCAGTGCTGTCCAAGATCAGCTGAGAGAGGCGAGCACTTAATGGAGGGCTAGCGAAACCATGTCAGAATCATAATGTACTTGGTGCTTGAGCGTCTGCATGGCAGGTACAGCAGATCGAAGCCTCCTGTGGTGCCTTCGCTGCCTTGGTCGGTGGAGTACAACTTGTTACGTGGGGAAATGCAGCCTGCGGTGGGGACAGCGACGGGGTACAGCGACTCGTCATGGCGAGTTGATTTCAAGATGCAGGCGCTGATGCTAGATGAGAGCGCCAGACCATCGGAAGCTGAAGGGGTGGGCAGTGGGAGCAAAGCAGGTGGCAGGCCCGTGACGCTCAATTGTGCACGGCCGGCCCTCGCTTATGGCAACTCCTATGAGCTCCGACAGACAATAACTTATCATCCTGCTTCACCTGCTTTGGCTTGGCAGCTTTTGGAGCCCGAGCCCGGGCAATGCTGGGCTTATGCCTAGGTCCTAAGTTCACTGTTCGTCGCTCGTAGGTCTGCATGTGGCCGAAGCTGCCTCTTGTTCATAACTGCCTTGCAGCATCTTGTGCCCATAGCACTATGTGTGTCAGACTCATTAGACTTTTGGGATAAGGCAAGGCGGGCGTCGTTGCATAAGACGAGCTCTCTCTGTTTTATAATGCTCCATCTGTTCCTGCTCCTGGACGTCCCGGGGGTGTTTCGTTTGAAGGGTTGAGAACTATATCAGCCCGAAGGTTTCCAGCGATTCTAGTCATTTTGCTGCGACCTTAGCAGATGGCTGGAGGTCGCATTTCACAGCTACTGGAAGCCTGCGCTCAGCGCGGACAGCAGTAGTCCAAGCGTCAGTGTGTCTTCTTTTTCAAGTTTCGGCATCCTGGCCTTGAAGCGCGCGCTACTGGCTTGCATCGGCCCCTTTGCCTCGAAGCCACTGTTTCTGAAGCTGCGCAAAGGACTTTGCATTCACTCGATGCGGAATTGCAATTGTCCAGGCGCAGTTGGCAGCAAAAGCAGAAGTGCAACGAGCGCAGCAGCGGGTGAAGCCTCTAACGCAACTTGGCGATGATACGACTGAGCATCATGAAGCCAACTTTGAGATTCCTTTTCCTTCGGAACTCGTTGGGGGATCCAGTGTCTTCTGCAGCCAGATGAGCCAACTCAAAATCCCACGCTTTTGCGATCTTTCGGAAGCTGGTTCAGTTCAATTCCTTCGAGGCTCCTTGGCGGGGGCGAGAAGCCACACCTGCCGCCCTTACCGCCGACTCTACGGTCGGCAGACCTTCAAACCAAGGAAATTGCTGGCGTGGGAGATGCTTGAGTGCTTGAGGTTTTTCGCTCGCTGCATTGTCCGTTAGTGCCCTCCCAGCGAAGCCTACCCGACAGGATGTCGAGCAAATACAATCCGCTTACCACTGGAGGCAACATCTCTCTGCAAGTGTTCAGCTGTTTCTGGAGTGATGCTTCTGATCTTGAAACACATGCCAGGCGATGTTGTCTGATGGTGGCGGTGATGGTGCGATGCTTCTTGAATCTGGCAGTCTTGATGTTGTCGCAGATGTTGTTGGTGATGGCTGCACACCGAGCACCGCGTGACTAACCGCGTCTTGGGGATCCTCAGGCAGCTGCTCTTCGCATTTCATACTTATGCAAACACAGTATTCCTCATCATAATCTTCCTCATCCCCCTAACACCATAAAATGACCGTTATCATCAGCATGATTTTTCCTCATCGGCACATCTTTGATGTCTGGTGCAGGCCTGTTCAGATCCGCGAGCACTGCTTTGCCTCGGACCAGCCTGGTAGAAGCTTGGGAACATATGCAGGGCCCTTAGGCTTCTGTGTCAGCTGTCATGAAATGGATAGATGCACGTGCACTCGAGCATACAGCTTGCAGCAAGCTGCTACAGGTCAACACCCTGAGCTTCAACTTGGCGCCACAGACGCTGCAGGCATGACCTAAGCGGTGTAACGACAACGAGCATAGTCGTCGGAGTTCTCATTTTGGAAGAACTAGTGACTTTACGCTGCAGTGTTCCGTATTTGCCAGGGTTGTTGGCAAAACACGGAGAGAAAGGCCTAAGCCCAGCAGAAAGAAAGAAAGAGATATGTCATGTCTTCTGCAAAAGGGATGGTCGGCGTAGTAGTCCTATTATGAACATCGGGAATCTAAGTTTCTATTCCATTTTTCAAGACGGGCAGCTGGAGCCATTAACACGGACTACCAAATTAGACAACCGTCTACCCCGCTACTTCGGGGGGACAATGCATACTCCAAAGTGTTTCCAAAACCGGGGAATGGACTGACTCACTTCTATTATGTATTGTTCCTCCACTGAGTATCTAAACCACTTCCTGAAACGGGGGAGCTGACCAATTCGACTTTTCACTCCGCTGTCATGTTATCCAAGCCGATGCATGTTTTTTTCAGCCCCGCGATGCCGTTTTATGTTACGGTGAGTGATGCAGGCATCAAGGTTGTTATGAACTTTGGTGACTTTCCACTCCGAGTTTTACGCCCTTGCAAAAGCCCCGGATAGCAAACGGGGGGGCCTGGAGCCCGGAGGGCCTTAACAGCCCGAAGGAAGAAGAGAGATATGTATGTACGTCTGTCTGTCTGTCTGTATGCATGTATGTATGTATGAATGCTCCGTAGCCATTTTGGCTCAAGTTTCGGGTTTCGCTGTCCTCCAGACAGCTCCAGCCTGCTATGATTCTTGCGTTTCAACTGGCTCTCTGTGGCCTCTGCGGCCAGGCCACAGATGAGCAGTGCTTGCTGGCTCGGCCCACAACGGACACTCTGGAAGAGGAACTGGAAGAGGAGGAAGATCTGGACTACGAAGGTGGGGCCAGCTCGGACTACAGGAAGAGGTGGGAAGGTGAGTGGGAGAAGCAGGAGCCACTGCATCGCCTTTCTCACTTCGTTGCTTTGGCAGTCAGAGCGGCACGAGACCCCTCCAGAGTGAAACTTATCCCCACTCTTCTCTCTCACTTCTGGTCCTCGCCCTCCGGTGACCCAAAGGAAGCTCTGGTTGCAACAACCCTTCAGTGGACCCAACGCTACGGCTCCGTCACAAGTGGTGGCATTATAAATATCAGTTCGCATATGACCGCAGTGAAAACCTGGCTGGAGAAGTATTTAGACGGCGAAGCCCCCGTCTACAAGATCAAAGAGGCCAGAGCTGAGGCCCAGACGGCTCTGCAAGACATCAAGGAAGGCCGGAAAATTACGGAAAGGGCTCTAAGCATTGCGAACTACCTCTTGGCCGCGACAAGTCTCATGGTGATGTGGAGAGAGCAATACAACCTTCTCGGCACCAAGGAAGTGCGTGTCAACATGGAAGGCGCCTACAAAGAGATCAGAGAAACTCTGAAGGACCTTGTAGACATCTTCTGGATTTACCGATGGGGCTTCATCAAGATGTATAAGTCCCTCTACTTCAACTGGGTTGACGAATTCCTCAAGGTGAGGCGGAAGTACACAGTTAACAAAAAGTACTCTTCCGAGTTCCAGGTTGTGGTCACGCAGGTCCTCAAGCGGCAGATCTTCGTGTGCTCGAGCTGGCGCCCATGCTCAAGACCTTCACGACGTTGCACCGGCTCATCCCGGGCCGTGAGGAGGAGCCCCCAGAGTCCGAGCCTTTCTTCCCCGAGAAGATCTATTTGGGCCCCTACTCCCACTTCATGATGGGCACCGAGGCTAGGATGGAGGACCAAGAGAATGTGGACCGGTTCCTCTACCCGAGCGAGACCGAAACCTCTTCCGGCTCCATTTGGAAGGCCGGGGGCCGCACGGGCGCTGCGGTGCACCTTTTGTGGCTTCTCTACGGGGACTCTTCCGAAACCAGGATTGGGAACGAGCACGGAGGCGTCTATGTGCCGATTGAACGACTGCCCCCCTACACATGCGGTTTGGAGATCGCCTACCGCGAGTACAACATGAATGGGATCGCCTTTATCAACATCAAGAACCAATCCTTGGCAATCCAGGGCTATGACGAAGAGCGTGAGATGGATGCGGCTCGGATGTACACAGGGCCCGGCCTGTGCGGCCTCTATACCCTGCACCAGTTCCACAAGTACAACAAGCCGCGCAAAGATCACGAGAGCTGGACCCTGAGCGATGGCATTTTGCTGAGCTTCAAATGAGAGCCAGTAGTGGAGGAGGATTTTTGACGTTTTTGCACGGCACCTCCCGAACCTACAGAGGGGGCGGGGCCGGCCTTGCCTGAGCCGTGAGCTCTCAGTACCTGCCCTCTGCACACGCTAGAGTCGCTAGAGGTAGCAGGCTATTCCCTTTGTCGTCTGTCAGCATCTCGGCTTAGGGGTGGTTGTGTTGGGTTTTTTGGGCTGGGTGGTTGTTCGGGGCTTTCGGCTCTTTGGTGGGGTTCCGAGGTTGGGGTTTGGTTGGTTGTTGTTCTGCCGGGTTGCTCGCTCGGTGTGGTGACGGCTGGCATTGTAGCTGACTGACAGCGACAGGAATTTTAACTCATCGTCCATGTGCCATCTTTGATTTTGTTGTGGGGATGGGACAGCTTTTCCGCTTGCTGGTTACATCCCACCCCTCTCTGGTGAGCGCATACTATGTTTAGAGATTTCTGCGCCACCACTCCGTGCCTTGAAAATGAAATGTATGTATGTGAGTATGTGTGTACGTGTGTATGTGTATGTGTGTGTGTATATGTGTCTGCGTGTATGCGTGTATGTGCGTATGTGTGTATGTATGTATATATATATATATATATCTATGTTTCTATATATATATATGTATGTATGTATGTATGTATGTATATATATGTACATAGAGAGAGGTAGCGCGAGAGAGAGAGAGAGTGTGTGTTTGTCTGTGTGTAATGGCTCAAGTTTCATTCAGCACGGTCGCACAAGCCACAATAGTTGAGCAAGCTGGTGGCCGGATACCAAGAAGCTAACATTGCCTTGAGATGATGAAAACAACAAAAATGCCCGCTTCTTCGAAACCCAACCCCAAGCCACACTCGGTGCTCGTTGTATCAGTGCAAATTCCAATGTGGCCCGCATTTGTGCCTTTGCTGCTGGGCTTTCTGCCGGTTTCCATCGCGGCATTGGAGCGACTTGCGCCGTGGCGACAATGAGGGTTTACAGTTTTCTGGAAGGTGGTGCAAGTGAGTGGACGAGACTAGCCGAGCGGTTTCGAAAGAAGGTGCTGGTCGGACATGTGCATGGGACAACAGTTTCAGAGTGCTTCCGTCATGGACGGGAAGCCGGGAGGTCTTGGTTTCCCGCCACGGCGAACGGCAACGGTTGTGGAAAGACCAGGTCACGCAAGCAGAGGACAAGGCCCGAAGACGATGTGCAAGTTCATATGTGCATTGATGCAAGCCCGCTGGGCCTTTCTTGCATAATCCGTCATGAATCAGGCTGGTGAGGGCGGGCCACGCCTGACGGCGAAAGGCGCTAAGGCCTTGAGTCGGACGTGTCTGCGTGGTCCCTGGCGTCCGCTGTCCACTGAGATCGTGTGCGTGTCAGGAACTGGTTGATGTCGGCAGATCTCTGCGGCAGCGATGCTCGGATCAAGGAGACGGCAGCCGGGGGCTGCACAGCCTGCTTGAGTCCTTGAGCATCCGAGGCTACATGCGTCCGGGCTGTTCGCAAGCGCGCTGCTTGGAAGGACAAGTCGCTGAGTTCGAGCCTGCTGCTTCTTGTCCTCGTGTTCATGTGGCTGCAGGAAGCATCGGAAATGGCACCTATGTGCCTGCCGAGGCCAGGTAGCCGCTAGCCATCTCGCCATCTTCGGCAGACTTGATGCTCGCCCCAGCACGATTTGAGGTGCGTGCGGAGAGCAGCGGCTTGGCCCGAACCCTCGGCTCCGCATATGCTCTCCACGAGGGTGGCTTGGTAAGCAATCGAGTAAGCAATCGATTCAGAAAAGGCTTGTTGTTTTTGATCCTGTCTCTTCGCCTCAGGACTTCTGCCGCAGGGCTCTGTCCCGAGTGTCTCAGATGCACGAGGTGCTGCAGGATCTCAGTATAGCTCGAGTTGGGAGCCTCGTGACTGCGAACCCATCACGTGTGTTGTGACTGGTGAGGTGGCGACTTGGCAGGCTCTGTGGTGGTGCCAATTCCGGTCTACAGCCGGCCCAAAAACGAAGACTTCATCCTACGCGGATACACGATGTGTTCGTCACAGGAGCGAAGCGTTGAAAACTGGTACTCGAGCGTGCAATTCCGGGACAAGGCAGAAGAGACCGTGGAGTTCCGCACCCGGGTCGCATCTGCCCTGGGGCACACAAACGTCACCGAGGATGATGGCACTGGCGCCCCCCTCCCTGATTGGTGGAACACCTACGATGAGTTGGTGATTGCAGCTCAAGCCGGAAGTCCGGTTGTAAATTCGTCTGACATGAAAGAGGCCGAGGAGCTCGCAGCTTGGCTTGAAGCCATGAAATTCAGCAGGAAGGTGGCTGGGAATCGCTGCGGAGGACCTCTCCTGCATGCGATTGGCGAGCGTTTGGATTCTTCCAAGTACCCTGAACTGCGGCTACTGCACTACAGTGCACACTATGCGACAATGCTTTGTCTCCTGACAGCTTTAGGTATTTCTGCAAGTTCAGAAAAGGCCCAGGACAGTTGGCTGACCTCGGAGCTTTTGGGTTTGAGCAGTGTGCTTGCTTTTGAAGTTTCCTCAGCTGAAGAGCCTATCGTTCGATTGCATTACTGGCCGGGGACTGATAGCTCTGATGACACCTGGCGAAGCTTGGATTTGCCTTGTGCTGGTGTCGGCACCGCCGGAGCGGCCGGGGCCGCCGGTGGCTGCACGGTGTCGCAGTTCAAGGCCTGGGCCGCAGCCCAGGGTCTGCCTACGTTAAGGGCCTGGTGTCGTGCATGTGAGAACTTCGAGCCCGAGCGTCGACTCTGCTCGATGACCGCGCCGACCCAAGAGGACGATTCGTTGCATCCGCAGTGGGATCTGCCAGCAATTGCCTTCGTTTTCCTTGGAGTTGGAATGTCTGCGTTCCTAGCCGTCGGTTGCTACACCTTCCGGCGGAGCTTCTCTGCATGCTTATCAGTGGATGAGGAAAGACGAAGCATGGTCAACCATAACGGAGCTACAATTGGTGCCTGCAGTCCTGCGCCTTCCTTGTAAGAGCAGCAACCACTCTCTGTTTCACAATGTTGGTAGTTCTTATTAGTTCCTAGAGAATTCGGGACCCTAGAGCGGTCTCAGAGATTGATGAGGCTTGGTGCTGGTGAAACGAGAGGTTTTGCAACCCTGCCGATACCTCCCAGTGAAGCCAGAAGACTCTCACGTTCCCACCGGAAGGGAGCCAAGCCGCTTCAGATTCGACTCGCCGCCGGGAACTTTACGGCCCAGGGAGCAGTTTGGCGCGGCACCCAAGTGCCGCTAAAGATGAGAGTAGCACCGGTCCCCGGATTGGGATTGTGTCACCCACGGTTCTAAGGTGCTACATCCTTGAAGATTCCTTTGTGCAGTGCCGCGGTGTGGTCATCGGCACCTGTCCGAAGACCCACGATCCTGAGAACGGCAGGACGGCCTGAAGTGAAAGCTATGAATGTGGTTTGCTCAATGTTTGTGCCAGCTTGCCGGCAGGAACATTCGTATTTGCCGCCTGCCGGTGGAGGCATGGCGTCTCCTGCCTTTGGAGAAACCGTGCGGATGTGAGGGATGGAGGGATCACAGGAACAGCAGTTTGCTTGGGTTGAGCAGAATCACTTCGGCAACAGCACGGTGGCAACAGCATGGGAAAAGCAGTCTGTGAGGCACGCCCGCGCCGTGGCCTTCAGTTTGCTGCGCTCTCGAGGGAGGCCTACGATGTTGGTGGCAGATCGCTCAGACCTTCTTCGAAGAAGTGGCATGAGAGAGATGATTCCATTCATTTAGTAAGGTCACATCACCTACACTTCCAGCCGGGTGGCCTTGACCGTTACACCAGATGGCTGGATATGTGGTCATTCCACACGTGAGATGGAGGGGGCCATCGTTCTTTGACAGCATGGGATGTCGTTGTGGTGTGTCAGACAACCTGCAACTCTGAAGGGGCAGTTAACTTTGTCTAGTTACTGCTGTTTCCACAAAGTGAAAGCTCCAAGACCTGTTCATGCCTGTACTGACCTTAAGGATCTCTCCGCTATTCGCTTTTGCAAGCAAGGCGGCATCTCTCTTACCGACGAGGCGTGTGTTTTCCGAGTTGTTTAGCCGTGTTTTCTGCGACAGTGCTACCATGAGTGGACCTACAACCTCAGGTGACGCTGCATACTGTGGATGTTCGCGGTTCTCGCCTGGTTTGTCTTCAAGGACACCTATCCGAATGCTTCTATGTCGAGATCTCAGAGTATCCCCTCTGTAAGAGACTTGGAGCCGTGCGGCCGCTGGGGGCAGTCAGGTGTTGCAATCCAAGCGCCCTCTGGCCATGCTCCCAGAGAGCTGTCGGCCGAAGGAGGCGGCGAATTCATCAAAAACAGACTCACAGGGTTTGACTCAAATCTCGAAGCACCTCCTGTGCACAGGTGCTGCATTTTGTCGCGCACCCAGTCGCCCGAAGGTCGGGCAGCATCCATGTGTGCCAGTGCCAGCCGGACGGCGTTCAACACCACGATCAAGTGGGAGAGACCAGAACGGCGAGGACAGGTAGACAGCAGCCCTCGACCAGCATCCGACACTACCGCCTCGACATGCCTCGACTCGTTTTCCGTGTTTGCCAACGTGCGACCTCGGAGTGTCTCGTCGCTCTTCCCTCGGCTCAGGTGACTCCTGGCTCTGGACCGGGGGCCTTCCACCTTATTCAGGTTCGGCCTACACAAGGCCGGCTTGAAACGCTCAGCCTGCTCAGCCTGCTCCCCGCTCTCACCCTTCGCAGGTTCCGGCATCGGCGGTGATCTAATGTGGCTGCTTCGCTGGAGTCGGTTTTTGCATGCAAGCATTGGCCCAAATCTAACCAGTGTTGAAGCATGCAGTGTTGTTTCGTCCGGAAGATAAGAACAGAAAGGAGATACAGGTCGTATGTGTACGTGGAGGATGTTTTCGAAGAATTCCGCCCCGCCAAGGAAAGATGGTGTGTGGAATCACGACGAAGTCCATCTCACCGGGATTATGCAACCTGCCCATATCGAAACCTCTTGCCGAGGGATTTAAACCAATGCTTCGACACTGTTGCTCACGTCCATTCAAGTCTATTCCGTCTTCCAGGTACGAGGTCAGTGCAGATGCTTTGTCACTCTCGTTCCTCGATGCTTCCTGGTCACAAGCATATTGGCGGCAGTTGGCCTCTGGCTGTCTGGAAATGTTTATCTCTTGTCCAGCCTTCCTGCTGCTGAAGCCGCACTCCTGCCGGGGCATCTGCACTCCTTAGGAGATCTTGAGGATCTTCGTGGCTGAGTTTCAGAAGTTTTTGATGGCAAAGCATCTGGGCTAACACGAGCCCGCATCAGTACTGCCTCGTGTGCCATGGGGCCAATGAGCTGTCGTGCGGTACGGCTGCATGATTCCTAGGTTTGGCAGCATCGACGATGCATGGGATGAGGCCTGTTGGATTTGCGTTGGCAGAGATACGAGTCGCCACCCTGACGAAAGAACTGGCTGCTAGGCTTTCGATCTGAACGGGCTCGGCGTGGTGAACTTCACCCAGCTCGGGGCCTGCTAGACTAGCGAAGCAGGGTGAAGGTTGTTGCAAACTAGTGCCTGGCTTGCTTGGCATGGCTTGAGAATCTATGACAGGAATGTGTCTCTGGGTGATGCGTAGTCTTTGCATGGAGGGAGTCTGGAGAGACTTATTCCTGTTAAGGTTCAGCGTTGGCTGCAAGAAAGCCGGCTATGTTGGCAATGCCACACGGTTGTGGGCGGCGATCAATGACGCCCCCTGTCGGCACCAAGATGTTCCGTCAGGCAGAAGACGACCGTCCTTGGTCTGTCCTTGCTTTGAGGATCACGGCGACGTGATCTGCCTCGATCAGCTTGCCAGGAGCCTCCGAAAAGTGTTTAGTTGAGGGACAGTGGGTCGTACTCGGAAGCCAATCTGTCACAGATAATTCGGGCATCGAAACCTGAGGAATTACTTAGAACCGGAGCCTTCGGACCAGCTGGACATCGGTCGTCGCTCGGCAGAAACAAGCTTGGCTGCAACGCAAAGGCGACACCACCCACCGGCACTGTTGCGGGCTCTGGTTTCGGATCCTGTGATGTGACCCAGGCAATGGGGAGGATCCGCCCGCGCTGGAGAATGGAGCTGGCTGACATCGGCAAGCGCCTCACCAGCCAGCCACGCTCCTTAACGGCATGCTTTCATTAGTCTTCAACTCGATTGAGCTTGCCGTGTCGCCAGGATTGTTGCTCGAATCAACCTGAAATCAGGAAGAATTGTAAAAGAGTGCCTGTTGGCTGTGGCAGGGTGAAACGCAGTAGAAGGCAGAGTGTGGCAGAGGGCATGGCTTCCTCGCTTTGCAGCCATGGCTGCCCTGGCCTGCGGCAGCGTTCTGCTGCTGAACGCGTCGCAGCCCGTGCCCAGCACTGCTTTGCGAGCCGAATGTGGCCTGGTCAGCCTTCTGTCATGGGGGACGGCTCGACTTAGTGCAAGTACCAGGGATGGGCCGCAGCTCCTAGGGAAGTCTGCCTGGTTTGTTGCCGAAGCCATCCGGAGAGAGTTTCTTGTCTGGGCCGAACTGGGCTGCAGGTGCAGACTGCCAGACCCACTTCGACACCCTGGAGGTGCCCAAGAGCCATGCTGCTGCCAGATGCTTCCGCCAGGCGTGCTTGCCCCGTGTCACTAGAGTTGATCTCGACAAGTAAGCCTCGACATGAGCTGGAGGCTGCCAGCAGCTGGAAGCCAGAAGGAATCTTGTATGAGTCGAGAGGGTCGTGACTGAACGTCATGTGAGAGTGACGTAGGCGCCCGTGCAACTTGGAAGCATGCCAGATTCATCGGGCCTGTGATTCCTTTCTGTGAGTCTCAGGAATGGATGCCACAGACATCCTGCAGGGCTTGAGTGGTCCCGCTGTCGCACTGGGATCACACGGGAAAGACCTGTTGGCGGCAGAGGATTCAGCTTTTCCGATCTTTTTTGGAAGTTGTGACGGCTGAGGTGGCGATTTTCGCCGAAGAGCACTGCATTGGATGCAGCAGTGCCAGACAAGGCCCGCTTGGGCCGGGTGTGTTTGGGCCGTTTGGGCAGTCCTGTGGCATATTGCAAGCTTTCCAGGCATGGGCGCGTGTTCTGGATCATGAAACTGAAAGCCGTCAAGCTGAACTATCAGATTTCCAACATTCAGGAAGTGATGCAACTTTGTGTGCCTCGGGCTTGCTCTGTGGAGATGGCAGGTGGCTTCCTTGCTCCGTTCTACCTTTACCAGGGGCTCCGTTCAGGTACACTCCAACTGCCCCAGGACCTGCTTCGCACTGGGTGTTATGGGAACCCCGACACCAACGTTCTGCCTCTTCGTTTGGCCGTGGCTGCTGACCAACATGCCGAGTTCCAGCAGGCCGTCCACTTGGGACCCGAAGCTGCCCGAGAGTTGCGGAAGACTTGGCTCATCCATTCCCACGAAAGTGCACAGAGATATCTCCACCCGATTGTTTACACAGCCTTGGAGCAGCCGCGGATGCCAAGACCAAGGCATTCAAGAGCCGGCCCAGCCGAAAAAGGCTCCTCAGGTGCTGCTGTGCTGTTCGCAGGTGATTGGCGGTTTGATGAAGGAGTGGTTGCTAGCATACAGCGTCATTTGGTGAGGCCGCTCCAGGCTAGGGTCTTCGTGGTAATCAGCCGGCGAAAACAGCGACGCGGGTGGGCAGAACGCCGTGCTATGAAGAAACTTGTACCGTCCTTGACCGACTTCTTATGGGTCTTGGATGACTCTGCAGAGGACCTTCGCCGAAAGATCCAACCCAGTGCCCTGCAGCGCTACCAGCACATGGGTGGGCGGGCTCTGGCCCCCTTAGCGAAGCACAGCCGGGGAGGGTCATTGCACAGTCTGATCAAGCTCGAAAAGGTCTTGGATTTAACAGAAGCCTACGAGATGCGACGAGGGTTCCGCTTCCGATGGCTTATCTACAGCCGACTGGATCTTGCCTGGGTTGCACATCATCCCCCGCTCAAACTGTTGGACGAGAACAGCATATGGACTGTGCCCCTGGCAGGAAAGCTTCAGCAACAAACGCTGGGACAGGCTAGCGGCTAGTGGACTGTGAGCCTCACCTCCTTGCCAGCAGGCATGCAGCTCTCAACACTTATTTCTTCGGTGCTGTCAGGACCCAAAGACCTTTGCTGCTAACGACTGGCATGCAGTGGTTCCGCGACAGCTGGCCTTGGCTTACTTCAGGCGGTGGTTTCATGTGCCCTGGAAGCTATGCAAGCTGCATCTGTCGAAGGCGGTTCTGCCGAAATGAGCAGAAAAGAAGAAATTTGCAGAGGTTGCCAAGGGCGACGCCCCGTGGCTGCCATCCCTGGAGCCGGAGGAGCGGTCTGAGAAACTTCTCGTTGACCGCATAGCATCTGCCTCTTTCCTCTCTGCGCGATCAGGAGCTTTTGAGCTCCCTGTGTGAGGTCATGTGACTCGGTCAAAGGTAAAGATGTGACAGCATAAAACAGCGGATTGGGGACAGACTGTGGTGGAACTTTCAGGTGAAGGTTAGACATGTCTGGAGAAGGACAGCGCATCGGTGCTGAGGGGTGTGCCGGTGCGTACTTTCGACCCGGTGTTCACTTTGACGAACTGTCGACGCTGGCGTTCCTTGGCTGGAATTCGGATGCTTGTTCGAGATCTCAGCACTAGCATTTTCGATTGTCATACTCTGGCTGGCTGTTGCTGGGCCAGCAGCTGTGATGTTAATCTGCTGGTATTTGGTCTTCCTCGGTCTTTCGTTCATTCCCAAACAGGTTAGTTTTTTGTTCGTGCCATGGGCCGCGACCAGCAAAAGCTGTATCATGTTGCACAGGCACCATGGAACATCTCAGTCGTTCACGACTTTCTCCGGTGCTTCGCACACATGTCTTAACTTTGAAGCGGTTGAGCTGTCGGGGGTGAGCGAGGGGCAGGATGCGAGATAATCTGGCAGTCTGCACGTCCAATCGCAGTGTTGGATAAGACACTCCTTCAGTTCGCTGGATTTCTCCTTATTCAGACGGCGCTTGGTTCGGGGTTATAAGTGACACCCGCGCCAGGTTCAGGGTATGGCCGAATTTCTTATTCACAAGAGCCTCTTGTGGGCGGTGCGGCCCGGCAAAGGGCCGGAACCCTGCAACAGGAAAATACGAACTCCAGGGCTTTTCAAATTTTCCAAAATAAGAATGGATTTCTTATTTTCCTTTCGCGCGGTCCGGCCAACAACCCGGGACCTGTGTAAGAATTCCAGGGGTGGGATTGATCCTGACCCTTTGAACATGAAGTCTTCTTAAATTCCATAGCTCCAAACCTGCAAGGTCCAGTAGGGTTTTTGAGAGAGCCTTCACAAAATTCAATAAGAACTTGGGTTTCGGGGGTAGGGGCGTTGATTCTTTCTTTTCCTCATAGGTAGTTCTCGCAGATTCTAACGGTATTGTAGCGCATGTTCGCCCAAATTCAGCCCCTGGTTTTCCTATTCAATGATTTCTTAAAAAGTGCTGGTGCTCTAGCGATGCGCGCTCTAACATGCCTTAACCAGAGGCTGCCAGTACCAGGGCTGGATTTCCTCGAACAGCCGCCTGCGGTGGCCGGAGCAAGCAGAGACCCTTGGCTGTGAAGCTCTTCCGTAGGTCTTATGCAAATCTAGATCTTGATCCGCCTGGCAGGATCCTGCTCCAAGCTGCCAGGGACCTGCGGCTTGGTGCGGCTTCCTGGGCTAGAGTCGACTCCGGTGGTTTGGCGATCCTGCGACTCGTGCGACGTGAGGAAAAAGAGGCAAGCAGGAGGCTCCGAGGGCACGATGTCTAGGATGTGCGACTCAGCGGTGACGTGGGTCAGGTGACTTAGAAATTTATCAGTCCGACAGCTTGTCAATTTGGACAAAGTGATCCTGCCTGTGGATACCAAGTCTAAGACCTTCGATACACGTCACTAAATATTTTTCGGGGGGGGGGGTATGGAATTTTGTTTTTGCAAGACCACATTCCGGAGACGAAGTTGACTGACTGCCTTCAGCCCTACGGAGACATTTCGTTTACAGTGGTTACAAGTGCTATCAGTGTTCAGCCGCTTCTGGTAGCAAGCCAGTAACGTGGCACCCCGGCAGGTAGTCTTCAACATGCAAGCATCATATTCTCGCTTGGCCCAACATGATTTATTGGCTTGACCTCATGGGTGTAGTTTAGGGCTCCCTGACGTCACACTCGTGCGCATTTTTCTTTCTTTGACCTAAAGACTAAGGTTCTGGCGCAAGTGGATGTGAGTGGCGTAGCTTCGAGAAGCCACTGGCAGGCAGCCATCCCTTGGCGACCCTTAGTGTTATTGCATGTGGAAGTCTGTATGTATTTTTCTGTGAGCTTATGTTTGGCTTTGGCCACATGTAGATCCTGCCACACATGACAGTCATGGGAGACTTCCTCTGAACACTCTGCTGATCTGCCAGATCTCCAAGAGACATTGCAGCTTCAGGCACGGCACACGGGAGCTGTTCCAAGAGTTTTGGAACCAGCAAATAAGGGTGCACTGGCATCTGCGTTTCACTTCTGCCAGCTTAGTGCTGGCTGGCGGATGATCCAAGTTAACGTTCCTGCTCCAAGACAGGGACATGCTAGCGATCCCTCCAAATGGAGGCAGGATTTTTTGGTCGATGTTTCCAGATTGATTAGGCTGGGGTTTGGCAGAGCATTGGAGACAGTACACGAGATTACACGGACTTCATATATGAGGTAGGCGATGGACGTGGAGAGTGGAGCAGCAGAAAAGCACAGGCCGGTTTTGTTAGTTCCATGTGCCGGAGAGGCTTGCGGCCGCTGGTGAGAAACAGAGAGAGAGAGAGAGAGAGAGAGAGAGAGGGAGAGAGTCAGAGTGTCCATGCACTTGTTGGAAGGAAAGAAGGAAGAGTGCGTGGGAGTGGTGAGATTCTCATATGCCTTCCGGGGTTAATTGGATGCCCTTCTCACAACAGAGCACACCAAATCGAAATCGCCGGCGACATTCAGTCCAGTGATGAATCCAGACGCACTCGCACACACGCTACTTGTAGGAACAGAACTTATGTTTCCCCCCCACTTCATGCTGTAGGTTCGCTGCAGGCGCTCCCTATCCTCCCTGGTCCACCGGAAGACATACATAGGCTGACCACAACGAGTAGATTCGGCGACATGTAGACGGAATCGAGCAGCAAATGGTGTGCCGCGAGTGCTCCTCCAAGCTTGGATTTGCAAGCCACTATTCAAAACGTTAGATCGGCAAAGTCTGCAGACAATATCCGTTCCAAGGCTCGGATGCAGGCAGCCCTGGACGCCGATGAAGTAACCGAGCTTCGTTTTGTGTGAGGCTGAGTGCTGTGAACCAAAGGCTATCATCATGAGTGTGGGGTCGTGTGTGTTTTGCGCTACATGGTTTGTCCACGACGTTCTGGCTCATTGAAGGCCCAACGGTCAGAGACATGCTTTCCCCGAAATGCACCAGCCAGCAGCCGCACATTTTCTGCATGCTCCTGAGAGGCCGAAGAGGCAACGCCAGGAATTCTCTGCCTTTGTCTTCGGATCCGAGGTGAGCCCTCGGAGGAATCACGAAACCCTGGCCACCCTGCTGGCCGCAAGAGCCGGGTCTGCAAGAGCGTCCACGAACCCTCGGAGTCTGCTTCGGGTGTCAGCCATCGGTTTCGAGAGTGACGAGCTGGGGCAGCTGGACCAATTGGATGAGTTGCAGGGTCCGTCCGGGGCGTGGGTGGCGGGGCCATGGCGTGTACTCCCCACCCAGTCCCTGCAGATAGAGGGGTTCAGAGAGGGACCGGATCCGGATGTAGATCCGCTGGAGGACGATCTCTGGGATCGTGGCTCTGGCGGTCCCGAGCACTACCACCATCACCAACATGCCGTTGAGCACCTGGAGCATCACCCGCACGAGCCGCACGATGACACAATGACTGACGTCGGAGTGGCGTTGATCTCATCGGGGACCACCATATTCCTTGCCTTTATGAGTGCTATCTTTGCCATGAGGCTGTTTCGGGAAATGATGCGACCACCCGCCCAACAGATGCAAGGCATGAATGCCGGTGCGGACGGCGATGCTCCTGGAGTCCTGCAGCTGGACATCCCCGGCGTTCAGCCTTTCCGGCCATTCTCGGGCCAGGGCTACCGTCTCGTCGTGGAGCCAGATAGCAAGGCTTCCGGGGTTCACAAGGCTGATGCCGACAAAGAGAAGGACACTCCTCGCAGCTTGTCGCCTGCTTCTGTGGTTTCCGTCGGGGCGCAGCCCAGCGCTGTATTGCCTTCACCAGGGGCAACGCAACAGCTTCCGCAGTTTGGAGCAGACGAGGCACCCGAGGTGACAGCACCTGCGCCTTAACCGCAGGATGCCACAGCAAGCAGCCAAGCGATGGCTGGAACACTTGCAGGAAATATCTACAGCGACCCAGACGACCTGAGGGTGCACGAGGCTGCTGAAAAGGAAGCTGGCTGCAAGTTGCCTTGTGAACTTGCATGCTTCTCAATATGCGCTTTAGATGAAAGACCGCTGCTTCAGCATCAGATGCTTTAGAACCTCCAGGTCGTGCCCCGGGCAGCGGCGGATTCGTGGGCATCCAGGCGCCTGCCGTTGCCTTTCGCTATGTTTACTCAGGCCATGTTGCACGGTACAGTGCAGGATTTCAGGGGTGTTCCGCAGCACAGCGGCTGTCGACACTGGGAACTGCTTCGGACAATGTGACTCGTGTGATCCATTGCACGGGTTCCAGGCACTCAGCTCCGAACATAGCGAGTCGCTCCTGGCCCTGCTAGTAGGTCTCTGTTGCTGTCTTGTAAGCGCGGGGTTGCCCAACCTCCCGGCCCATGCAGAATGTGCTGAGTAGTGACCACAGTCGCTTGCTAGTCGGGGATTCAAAAGGACAGGAGTCTTATTATCTGTCAGTGCAACTTCGGAGGGTAATCGTGCCGTGTGCGAACGGATCGTGCCATACCATCAGATATCCAATGGGGAGTCCAATGCCAAGCTTGCGGGACATCCTTGCTCCATGTATGACTGTATGAGTCTCAGCTTATTGTACGAGGCCCTGATGCAATGGGCGATGCAGCCCGCACCAGAGCAGCACTGAACTTCGTTTGCGGCGCTCTGCACAGAGCCGGGGTGCACTATGTTGATGCCGAGTGCCTTCGCTTGGCGAAGCATGCCGACACTTCTGTAAGCCCTGCCATGTGGGCACTTGTAGCTGACCTGCTAGAGTTTTTACAAATCAGCACCGATGGTTGGACTCCGGTTCTGCGAGAATCCCCAATGGAGCTGTCTGCGCTGGAGAAGGAGACCGTGGTCTTTAAACTTATGCTGTTAGGATACCCTCGGGCTGACCATCTCATCGACACCAGGGAGTTGCTGCTTGCAGTTGGTTATCTGTTAAGCGCATCCCAGCTGTTGACAGCAGCCCGGCGTTTGGAGAGCCGCCATCCATTGCCACCGTATCCCGACGAAATTGCTTGCTCGGAGCGGCTATCTCCAATTGGTCGACCCGCAGCAGATGGCGATGGACTTTGTAATCTTCTCCAGCTCCATGGCCGGTGGCGTGCAGAGACAAGACGATTGGAGCAGCTGGAGGCTCACCGTCTCATGCTGCTGAAGCAGATGCAAGAACTAACGTCCAGCAGGCTTCAGACGCACAAGGATAAGGACAGGACGAAGAAGTTCCTCCAGTCGCCACCAACACAGTATGAATTATTTGTGCTCGAGCGCTCTTTGCAAGAGCACCTGGAAGACCTGCAGCAATACATCAGCAATGTGCAAGCCAACAAGGTCCGGAGGTCTTGACATGTGTTGACCAGATTTTCGAGTGCTTTGTTTGGTGTCGTGGATGCTCCCGGATTCCGGATGCTCTCATGTTTTTTATGCTATTGTCGCACTCGTCATCATCGTGGCTTCGGTTCTGCTGGTAGTTCTGGTGATGATGGATCCGTGGCCCTGCCGGCAGCGTCTCGTCGTCATCGTCGTCGTGAGCAGTCTGGAGTATTTTCGAGTTTGGGTGCCAGCAGTGCTAGTTGTGGCAGTAGGGGTGGTGTAGGCGGAGGTAGTGATATGGTGGTGACGAAGCCTCGGGGATGTAAAGTCTTGGTCATGCTTGTGCTTGCGCTTGAGAGGACGAAGAGCTCTTCTGGCGCTGGATGGGGAGTGTGTTTCGAGCCACCGGCGCAGAAGGCATTGCGGCAGACAGCGCTAGCCCGGACATCAGCCACACCATGCAGAATGTGGCTGATTTGGACAGCCTACAAAGCTTTGAAGAGTCGGCGACTGCGCTGAAAAAAGCTCAAGCCGAATCTCTTCGCCCTGCAGTGTTTGGCCCTCGACGGGGCACGTGCAAAGCTGGAAGCCTGCGTGACCACTGGGACGCCTTGCACAAGTCTCTTTCGGGTGTTGCTCAAGGGGAGCTAAAGCAAGAGCTTAGAGACTTGGGAACTGCCTTCGATGCAGCATTCCCGGCTGTTTGGAATGAGAACACGGAGAAAGCAGAGAGAACGACCGACGTTATGCAAGCTCACGTGGTCCACCGGCCATCGAGCCTCCCAACCGTCCTGGTCAGGGATTCACCGGATGCGCGTGTCAAGCTGGGCACATCAGCTGCAAGCATTCAAGAGCATGTGCATGCGATGCGAGCGTGCTACACATCTGCATCGCAGGAGCACGGGGTGCTTCTTCAGGAAGCAGTCAACGAGCTTGATGGTGCACTCGCGATGCTTGAAGACCTGCGGGTGCTTGCAGTGGGCAAAAGTGATAACCATGGGAAAGGGGAGAAAGGGTCCATTTTGCGAGCCATGCATGCGCCTTGAAAAGAGGCCGGAGGCTTGGGCCCCGCGTCTTCGAGGCTTGGACCTCCCTTGCCCGGTTGAGTCGCCGAGGCCTTAGACTCATAAACCTTGAAAGCTCGGAGCAGTCTCCACGCAATTGCGTGAGAAAAATCTGCGGAACCCCAAAGGTGCGCTGGATGCTTCCGGCTGCGCGTGGAGGCTCCATGAACAGGGTTACGATCGTTCAACAAAGCACTTGTGTTAATTCTCGCTGAAGCCGCAAGCTTTAGCCAGCATCTTTGCAAGGCCTCGTCGGCACCACTGGCGAAAAGAATTCACAGAACCAGGCACGGAGTTCTACACATTGCCCGCCTCGCATCTTGTCGGGCCCTGGCCGGCCCGTGACGGTCGGAGCCTGGGCCAGGGTGGTAGGGTGGTGTAATGTGGTTTGTTCCGCAAGGATTCCATGAACGACGACTCATGACGAATCTCCCTCGCCGTCTTCTCGACAACTCCCTTCCTATCATTCGCTTCTGTATACGATGGGACGCCGCTTTCGGGTTTCACCCAGCCTTCCCTTCAACCGACCTGGCTTTGCCATTTTAAGCCCTCCACATCCCTTCACCGTGCAATCATACGCAATCGTGCGCCGTCTCGATATTTCTCCGATACCGTCCACCAGTACCTCTTTCATATGTCGATGTGGCCGCGGCTTGTGGAAGCAGCAAGATTTCGCAAAGAAGTCGACGCGACAATCGCGCCGAAATGGCAACCGCGCTGCAATGGCAGCGTGATAATTTTCTCGAGCTCTCCGGCGAGGTACCGCTGCTGGATGCCAGGCTGCCCGGTGCAGGTCCTCCCGAGTTCCCATTGACCAAAAAATTTCGCGACCCTTAGATGTGGCACAGGTCGTCGTGTCCGTTCACATGACCGCGTGGGATGGTGATGGCGACGAGGCGAGGCACGCGACTTCTGCCGTAGCCGTAAGTGATAAATTGTGAGCCGCTCGACAAGGCTAGCACAATCAAGGGAGCTCTCGGAGTCCGACGGGCCTCACCAGGTCTAGAGTCTAGTTGCACCGCCGGATGAAACCGCGGGGGGCCGATCTTCTGGAGAGCACATAAAAGAGACCCTCTGCTCAGTCTTTACAGCACGCCAGAAGGCGCTGAGATGGGCTCGATTCATCCACACCTTGTAAGATCTACGCGAGAAGCGGCTCACTCTAGGCTCGTGCTGTGTCAGATGCAAGGAGCGTATTCGCGGATGTGCACACGGCACGGTATGTTGCAGCTTCTGCTTGCATCGGAAATTGAAAGCCAGCCAAGCCACGGCACACAGATCATGCCATGCGTGTCGGGCTTGCTACACATCTGGACACACGAACTTTAATTGCGCATGGGCTGCACATCTCAGTAGGGAGAAGGATGAGGACAAAGCCGGATTCGAATGCAGTGCCTGGGAGTCGAACTCGACTTCTCGAGCGAGAGAGCTTTGAGTGGAGGGCGACTGCCGCAGGCCAACCCATTGAAGTTGGGCTCAGAAGTGTCCAGATCTCAGGACTGGGGGCTAGTCGTATCGTATCTTCTATCAGCAGAACAAGGTTTTAGATGCGACTGTCCTGCAGCCCCTCAAGCTGCGCGAAAGAGCTCCCCCGAACCTTGGAACCTTGAGCTGAATCCTGGCGGTGCTCGGCTTGTCTCTGCTGGATCGGAGGAAGCATCATTTCAGGTGCTCGCGCAAGCTCGAATGGATGGATTCGACGGAGAGGGTGCGGCGCCCAGGGACATTGCGAGAAATGACAGTGACAGAAGGAAGGGTTTGGAGAGCTGCAAAGCGCATTGCAGCATGCTTCGCTCGTCGGCTCTAGACGTCTCTGCTGGACGCCGAAGTGATCGCACTAAGCAATGAAGTCCTTTGACATTGAAAAGCCCATGGATGCCGCCAAAGAGAGAGTTCTGCCGAGGGCCAGCGTGGTCTTCGGCATCAGCTTGTGCACTGCCTCGCTGGCATTCATGGCTTTAGGGCCAGATTCAGCGGGGCTCTCGGGACTGTTGCTAGCTTTCAAAACAGGACAAAGTTCTTCTCCCGCACCGCTCCTCGGCGACGGCACTGCAGTGGATTGGTGGTTTGCCTTCAAGCCTACCACGGATGCGTTTCCAAAGTGCTCCAGTAGTATAACCTGCATGTTCGGCGGCAGCAAGGAGTCGTACAATGGCTGGGGTTTGCAGTACATCCTTTCCCATGGTAGCAAGGGCGCAACGTCTGCAATGCAGCTTCACACCGACTGCTTGGGAAATGGGGAGGACCCGGTAGCAAAGACCTTTGAACAGGTCTATTCTGGCGGAGCCGCAAACTATGTCATATGGAACGACCAGTTCTACGACGACCCAGTGCTCAACATCCAGCCACCGTGTGTCAAATATTGTGCAGGTCCGTGGGGCCACAGCAAGGGGGTCATGGCTTGGGGTGAGGATGGCACGGGCTTTGTGATGCAGGTGACCACGCCTGATTGGCCAGGGTCTGGCTCTCCCAAAAAGCCGCGCAGCAAGCAGGGCAACACTTTGGGATGTGTCAACGATGACAACATCAAAGTTGCACAGCACTTCTTCGCATTGCGCCTGGCGACATCGGATGACACGAAGACGGTTCTACAGGCACTGCAGCGGGCCTCGGTTGCAACAGACCCAAGCAACGACCAGCTGGTTAAGCTCACAAGCGGTCCGGCCGAGCTGTCCAGCTTGGCCAAGCAACTGGGCAGGCAGGTCTTGGATAATCTCACGCCGTTCTCCGGGACCCTCAGCGTCAAGACCACCAGTCAGGCAGCATTTTTGAAACAGGAAGACTCATCGAGACGTGTCGAGAATTCCCGAGCATTAGGTTCTGCGGGTTCATTTCCGGCGACCATCCGTTAAAGACCTAGGACCTAGGACCTAGCAATGACGCCTGAGGTGCGACTGCTTGCGAAGCCGTCTGGGCTACATGTGCCACCCTGGCACATGGTCTCCTCCATGCTGGGGTCCCCGTTGCGCACGGCCTCCTGGTGGGGGAAGCCTGAGATCAACTCCACGAAGGATGGCTTTGTCCCAGGTTGCTGGAATAAGAACCTTAAATCTCCAAAGGAAGTGCAGGTGGCACTCAGCGGCCAGTGGGAAGGTACAACCTTCAGTCTCGAAGGACGTCCAACTACTGATGGCAATCATGCGAAGCTTGGACACAGCCTTTCAGGGTCCAAGCTGACTGTTCTGGCAGACATGAACCAGGAAGGAAGCTTGAATGGAAACGCTGGCGGTGAAGACAGCTGTGAGATTTCCCAGAACGGTCGTGGCGGCCTCTTCTTCGTGGTAGAAGATGAAGTGCTCCACAGCGGGCTGTCGGAGCTGCTCAAGGGCTCCACTGCGGCCTATGTCGGTGGATCGCCGAGCCCAAGTCCGTCTCCATCCCCGTCTCCGTCTCCGTCTCCGTCCTGCGGTGGCAAAGGCAAGTCCTGGGGCTCCTGTCGCCAAAGCGGTTGCACGTACGTGCACAAGGAGGATGCGAAAGCTTGTGGCGTCCCAGGCTATGGGTGCTACCCGAGTGCCAGCCTTTCGGCCACCTGCCCCAAGGCAATGTTGGCGTGAGGTCCTGGCCCTTCAAGCAACCAGTTGCTCGGACTTGCTGAGCAACTGGGAGCTCACAACCAGGTTACGATCTTGCACGAGTTTTCCGGCCGAGTGGCCTGGCAAGAAAATGGCAAGCTCATTTGTCAGTCTATTGTTTCGGCAATGTCATGCGAGTCTGTGCTGGCTGGACAGAGGTGGCAGGACAAAGTAGTGATCAATGGTGACAATACTGAGAACTGATACCACACCGGAGCAGCATCCTTTCCGGAAGTTTGGCTGTCATCTCCGAACTCTGTGCTTTTCAGGGGGCGTCAGCAGACAGCTGCTGCCGCCCCCAGATGTTAGTGTCTATGGAGCTACCGTGCACTGACCCGGTTACACCCTGTGTGGACATGTCAGGTCTTTGTAGGCAGAGTGCTGAGCCACACACTTTATGATTCTGATATTATTGTCAGAATTTAGATCTTTGCGAGAAGATTCGAAAGCATGTCGATGGGTCAGAGCGAGTAGCTCCCGAGCTTGACTGAAGCTGCAGGGCTCTGTGCTTGAGGGGCACCAGAGCCAGCAACATCAAACATCGCTTGTGGCTGCAGGACACAATGTGTTGCCTTGTGGGGTGCTTTTGCATGGGCTGCACATCGCCTGCAATTCAAATGCCACGAATCGAACGAACAGCGGAAGGCTGTTGCACAAGACCAGCGTCAAGAGACTTTGTGCCGACCCCAGGCAGGAGAGTGTTCCTAGGAGTGCCATGCAGCTGGCAACTTGACCCCCAAAAGAGCTCGATCCTGTCAGGCTAAACTCTTAACTGTAGCTACGATGCAAGGCCCGGTTCGTGAGTGACACGTTTTCACAAGCCGGAAGGTGCAGCAATGACTGTCATGGGAAGCGTCTGACTGTCTTGCATTCTGCACATCTTTGCTACGTGTCTGAGGCCTGTGATGACCCTGTGCGCAGGGCAAGAGAACCGCGCTCCTCATGCATGCATGAATGCATGCATGCAAGCATGCATGCATGCATGCTGTGAATCTTTGACGATACAACAGGTTTTGGCCCAGATACAGGGAGGGGTGTCTTTCTTACCATCATGACTTGGCGCCTACTTCAGGCCGGGGAAGTGGGAGATTGCAAATCTGTCCAGAAGTCAGCGCTGGCTGTGAGTTTCCACACGTTTCAGCAGAGCTGCAACCTCTTGCCTTGGCACGCTGTCATGTCAGAGATTTGGCTCATTTTCTGTCGGCCAGAACCGACCACTAGTTTACGCAGGGATGAGAATCTTTGGGATGTCGGGCATGAAGCTTCCACATGAATGTGGATTGGAATCGCCGAGTGAGTCGCCAGGGTCGACAACAGATTGTCCGGCGGACACCAGGAGCAGCGAAAGCGAGTCTCCGGTTTGCAGCAATGACGGTTGCAACGAGAACCATTGCAGCCGCTCGGGCATACAATTGCCCATGGAACCGCCATGTCTCCCACCCGGATATCCAGCTCCTCCCGGCTTGGGGCTGGTGGGTGATGCTGCCCCAGCATTCCAGCAAGGATCAGGCATTGGCGGACAGCCGAACCGTGCATGGATGGTTTCAGATGTAGCTTTTGCGCCACCACGCGTTACGGATGTGCCGAAGGATGTTTTTGCTGGCTTCGCTAGCAGGGGCTTGGCAGCGGAAGTGCATGGCTTTGGTGCCGCTCCTGGGCAGCAGATGCCAGTCCCAGCGGCATGTGGGACGAGCACTTATGACGTGTCAACACAAAAGCGGATCAACAAGGACCGGGTTCCACGCATCTTTATGTCATCAGACGCTTGAGCTCTTGCAGGACCTGACGACGGCCGCCAAGTCTGAGAACGAAGATGCTATCTCCGAGGCCTCCTGAATGGACGAAAGCTTGGTTTGATAGTTGCCTCTAGACCAAAAGGCTCGGCTAGGCTGTGCAAAGACGGTGGATGGCAGGTTCTTCGAATTGCCGCACTTCATCTTCACCAGCTGAACAGTGTGAACCTGTCGACTGCCGTCCACCGCCTCGCACGAGCATGCGAAGGCTCCAAAGCACTAGCAAATCGCGTGAAGACGGAGCCTAGGCGCCGAGACAGATAGCAAGTGCATTCTTGTGTGACTTCATTTTGTACTTCGCTCCGCCCAAACACCCACACCGAGGATCCGATATTCCTCCTCATGCTCGAGGCAGCAGTGTTTCGGTCAGCATTCTTTACCGAAAGTTTGGCCTTGTGCAGGTGGCCGAGCACAAGGCCGAGTGCAGCATGCGCAAGTTGGAGCACTACCAAGCTTCTTACACCGTTTTCGCTGTGTGTCAGAGATGTGAGAAATCGAGCTACCGTCTCCAGAAGCCTTCTTATTCTCATGATGCTGTCCCAGATTATGATGAACTGGATTTTTGAGCAGATTTGTAGAGAACGAGTGTCCCACCCCTCTCGCAAATCCTAATTCCATCCAAAAGCCCTTGAGAATACCCGTTTACAAAGGATTTCACTTCTATACACGCTTCTGCAAACCCTCCTACAACATGCCTCCTTCAAGTACTGACGGAATTCAGAGACAACAAGCCCTACAGCAACATGCTTCCCCGATGTGCTGGCGTGGTTCAGGACCATGGCCAAAATGCTTGGCCCTCTGTCAACGTACTGGCGGGATTCAGAGATGCGACCAAAAGCGTCTCCATTACTTGCGGGAATCAGGAGGTTTTCAAGCAAGAGGGGGGGACGTGCTCGCGTTTTAGCGAGCATCATGAGACCCTTCAAGTTGAGAGGATCGATAACATCGAACTCTTGAACTCTTCTCCATCTCCAGGAGTTTGTGTTGTCTGCGCCGCCTAATGAGTGCGAACCCTACGTCCCAGACTGCGACTGCAGCACGTGAAGAAACACATGCCAATGATTTGCAACCCCTGCTGCAAGAATGCATGTGCGGCACACAAGCCCACGTTTGTTGGCATTTTTTCGTGGCTGCTTGTTTCGCTTTCGTGCCTTTGCCAACACGCCACGTCTTTTTTTAGCAGCAAATGATGCAAATCTGGTCTCTGCATCCAGTAACATACACAAGATGCTCGCTGCGCAAGTCACCTGCCCAATTTGCTTTAAAATGAAGGGATGCGGCGTGTTGGCAATGGAGCGAAAGCGATAACAACCGGCCAAAATGCCAACAAAGAGAACTCAAACAAATGCCAAAATACAAGTCCACCCTTTCAAACACCTCAATATGCCCACATCACAAGCTAGTTTAACACTGCATCCGAGGCTGTAAGCTAGGCGCCCACGAAATCGCCAGGCCCAGCTGGAGTTACATGGCCAAGCGGACAGCATGCCTAGCAATTGCTGCACCATCGTCACCTGGTCTTGCGCTGTGCTACGCTTCTTCCGGCCGAGCCTTTTCACAGTCCTGGCCCGGGTGGCTGCAAGAAATCTCCAGGCTGGGCAAGGGCGGGGTTCTGCATCGCGCTACAGCTAGTGTTCCATCTCATGCACAGGATTGCCAGTGCTATGAAATCACGAACTTGTTGTGGAGCTTCGCGGAGCTGTGCAAACGGCAGCCGGCGATGGCTGAAGACATGGCCGACACCATTCAGGTGGGGCTTGGGTGCTGCGCATAAAATGGATTTAGGCCGCCCACACAGTAGGCCGCAAAGCTGATGTTACGCACTGAGCAGGAGTTAGTGGAGGCAGCCGCAAGCTCCTTCCTTCATCGCAGACCGAAGGCTCATGCACAGCCATCGGTTTCTTGGCGGAAATTCGGATCGAGATCCTTCTGCGGCGCAGGCTTGGAAGATCCAAGTCCTGGTCTCGGCATTGGTGTCGCTGACGTGCATTCCGTGCAAGGAGCGGGGCGGTTTTTTGCCCCTATACTTTTCCGACACACCGCGTCTTAGCATCCGTTGGGCACTTTTCGGTGCGAGGACTTCTGCGCCAAGTGGTTCATTATCAGTCTGGTGCAGGCCCTGGCTCTCTGAGCCCTATGCTGTGTGTTTGCGATTTGTTCGTGTCTGTGGAGGAGCTGGCAGAAAGAAGCGAAGAGGCCCAGGACACCAACCTTTCGCCTGTGGTGACGGCCTTCGACACCTTGCGTACTAGGCACCTGCAGGCGGTCTTGCTGGGCAGAGGGTGGGCCTGTGTGGGTGGGCTCCAATGTCATACAAAAGACTTCAGCTGCGATGCTCGGTTCATGACCCCGTTAGCCTTCACATACGTTGCACGTCCTTGCTTTCACGGAAGACTCTTGCGGCTTGCTCTCCGCAGGTCTTTCGTGACATTTGCAACGCCATGAGCAGGCGACATCCGGATTTTGTCACGCGATACATGTACGGCGGCGCGCGTCAAAACGGAAAGGCGAGAAAACACTCGACACGGCCGAAGGCCCAAGGATGAGTGCGTTTTACTGTGTCTGCCCTGCTTCGACATTTAAGAACTGGCCCCGGCCGTGGTTTCAGGTGGAGCTGCGAATAGCTGCTGATAGCTGCTAGTAGGCTAGACCGGCTAGACCTTATATGACCTTGAGAACATTCGCAGATTCTGCCTTGGGCCTGTGCCGTCGCTAGTGTTGCCTTGTGTCGAAGGGCTCGGCCCTCTCTGCTGCCAAAAATGCGCAGTGGGATGTGAGGTGCCCTCCTACGTCTTTCACCGAGTAATTCATGCGGAGACATAGACATCCACGCAGCCATAGTACATGCTGCGGCAAGCCCTGCCGGTAAGCAGCAAGCTCACATGCAGTTCTGCGGTTCCCGTTAAGACGTGTGCAGAACAGGGGAGCAGAGCTTCTCGCGATGTGCCCGTTGACAGTTGACTCCTGGCGCCCTCAAGAGTATATGTTCTTCCATTGTCAATTGCAGACACGACGAGTTTCCAAACTTTGAGTTTTCGGATCTCGAGGATGCTGGGGTCAGCTATTTTTTAAACTCAGATCAATCCAGCGGATGTCTCTTGTCCAAGCTACGGTCTGTGTACTGTACGGTCTGAATCGAAATTCGCAAACGAAATCAACTGGCCGCCCGGCACAGAACTGGGGTGGCGAAGATTTTCTGGGCTGTGGCATACAGCGCACCATGAACTTCAAAGTGGAGACCTGGAGGTTCTGGTTGTGACTTCTACTTTGTATCCAGTTCCGCATGCTCACAGCCCCACCGTCGTCTTTTTCACAGCTCTGAGGGAGGAGGAGAAGGCTACATTATGTTACGGAAGCAAAGATGCTTCATTGCTCTTTGCCTTGCAATGTGCCCTGATCCCTTATCATATCAGTCATACCGGCAGCCTGGCAGTGCATTCAGGTCAAGGTCAACAGGTCCAAAGTCCATCGTTCCAATCCCTGTCGCAGATTGCGGCAGCTGCCTCAATGGTAGCTGTCCTCGGCACGCTCAGCAGCTTGGTCATGCACAGGCCAATCGTTGTCGCAAATTGCTTTGCTCCGCGGAGCCAGCGAGTCAAGGCACTAGCTTTGCGCTGCCGGGCCCACCCCGGGGGCTCGTGCGCCCTACAAGCAGCCTCCACAACGCCAGAGAGCGAAGGACGCCATTCGGCCTGATTCGCTAGGACTCCTCTGACAGTTTGTCAAAGTGACTCTACAGCTTCCAAGGTCCTCGTTCGCTTCGTCGGGCGTTGCAGTGCTCGGCCTTGTGGCTGTGGGTGCCACCTCGCTCCGGTGGGGACGGGATCGGGCACAGGGCCGGTGACAAACGAGTGCGTGGCAAGCTCAGCCGTTTCGACTTGCCTGCGGTTCTGCAGGTCGCGGGCTGCACGAGGTGCAGAGCCTTCGCAGCCATCCAGCCCAGGGGTGCCTCCAGACCCTTGACTTCAGGCTTGCAGTTTATTCATGTTGATTCAGCTTCTCTTGTTTGCTTACCGGTTTCCTTTCGACGTATGGGCGAGCCCACCTGCCTAGTTGCAATGACGGGATGATGTCGCGGGTAGGGTTCAGAGCACAGACTACGAGGTCCGCATGCCCATGGTCTCCACTGGCACCGGCGCCATTGACGTGATGTCCAAGCTTCTGCAGGATCGAGTCCTGATGCTGAACGGCCAGGCATGTTGGCAGCAGCCTTGCAGAAGCTCAAGCTCGCCGCTGCATGCCCATTCAGGTGAACGATGAAATGGCCAATGTTCTAGTAGCCCAGATCCTGTACCTAGCCAACCAGGACGAAGCCAGCGGTGAGTTTCCCCTATCTACTGGTACCGCTGCCTGGCCAGAGGATTCAGAGAAAGACATTACGATCTACATCAACTCTCCAGGCCAGAGAAATGCAGAAACCAGCCTGGAAGAGCTCTTTGAAGCGGGCCTTCGGTTCAGGTGGGTCGGTCTCTGCCGGCATGGCTATCTTCGATGCCATGCAGTTCGTCCCCTGTGCGGATCCTGCACACAGCACACACACCGAAGCACAGCTCGCAGCCCGTTCTCTGGCATCCCAGGCGACGTGTCCACCGTCTGCTACGGCATGGCCGCCTCGATGGGGGCCTTCTTGCTCGGAGCAGGTCGCCCCTTTTCGACTTTGTAGTGTGGAGCACCCTCACTTATGTTCGACGTTTCGCTGCATGTAGCCCTGCACCTTCAAGGGACAAAGGGCAAGCGGCGCTCGCTGCCAAACGCTCGCATCATGCAGCCTGGCGAGTCTAAATTGTTGGAGCACTGAGCGCACGTACTGGTCATGTTGGATGGAAGGCTTGCTTTCCTGCGCTGTTTGGTTTTGTTCGAATTGCCGAGAACATGAAGCAGCATCAAGCAAACTGTTCTGTAGAGTGTTTTGGGGCCAGCTTCAAGATGTGAATGACGGTCCCCATGCAAGGGCAGGCAAACCACTCAAATGTGCCCCGAACAGTGTTTGAGGATTCATCAGCCGCTGGGTGGCGCTGGCGGCCAGGCGGCAGACATCGAGATCCAGGCAGCCCCACTTGCAGCTCTAACGGACTCTAATGCGAACTCAGAGAAGACATGGCTCCCAACTGAACATGCGGTACATGCGATATGTCGTGAGCCAACCAATAACCTTGATGACAGGCGAAGGAAATCTTGTTCCTGCGTGAGATTTTGAACACGCACCTTGAAATTGTTTGTGGGGCTGTGTTGGGCTTTTTTATCTGACTGGCCGGCTGAGAGCCAGCTAGGTATTTGTCAGACTTCACCGGCAAACCGCTAGACACCGTGGCCGAAGACTGTGACCGTTGCTTGGCAATTCCCGCACTTCCTGCAGCCTTTCTGCCAAGCTGGCCTCTGGCCGAGATCGGAAGAGTCCGAAGATTGAGGTGATTATTACATGACTCCGGAGGAGGCCTCAGAGCCGCGGAGCTGCAAGATGCTGCAAGCAAGAAACAGCTTCGAAGTTTTGGCACAGTTCCGAGGTATGGTATCATTGACGAGGTGTGGCACCTGCAGATTCTTGCATCTGCAGCCCTGGTGAAGCCCTGGTGGCTGTTGCAGGTCATCGAGACGAAGAGCTGGCCCAGGCTGAGGAAGCCCACGAAGCCCGAGCTGGTCACCGGCCCTGGGCTCAGTTCGCGACTCGCGGAGCCGAGCTCGCGTCGCTGCCCTGTGCTTCCGCCAGGTGGCAAGAGCTGAGCTGCGGTTCGAACCAAAGGTTCGCAAGTGCAGCATCTACCACAAGCTCGCAGACAGTCAGCCAGTTGAGCATGAGCCCCCCAGTATGTCCAGTAGGAATGAAGCCTACTAAGACACCTTCTGCAGCCGTCCTCGCTTGCTTGCTTGCTGGCTTGCTTGCATCACGCCTGCATGGTGTACCTCAATCTTACGTTGTGGGAAGCTGACTTCCTGACATGCGGCAGAAGGTGTCTTAGGTGGTAGGCTGAAGCGTTGCCAAGTGGTGACACCAGATGTTGTTATATCGCCTCGACACTTTGAGCCTTGCGGCTCATTCCATGCAAAGCTTGAGTGTTGCTGTCCGATGCTGTCCGCGCATCTGATTAAGTGGGAATGTCGCGTGCCGCAGACGTGCGACTTGAAGAATCCTACAGGTACTGCGCTGTTTCTGCGCAGGTATCCTGCAGAGGCCTGCCCCGGGAGGTTCAATATGCCGCAGGTGTCTGAGACTAGTTACGGCGGGTGCCAGCTACCGCGCACAATCGATTGACACCTCCGTCGCATTTCGCCTGTCATGAAGGGCAGATAGCTGGCTAGTAGCGTGCTGAGCTGTTTGTTGAGATTCAGCCGCCCACCATGAAGCTTGAGTCTGCTGCAGTGGACTTTCTTCTATGTGCCTTCGTCATGTCGAACAGCATGGGAAGACTTTGGGAGCAGGATGTATGGTGGCAGCTCCGTCTTGGAGACGAGATACTTCGTGGGCGAGGTTTTCCGACACACGAGGAATGGACCTACACTAGCAGCCACGTGCCTTTTCACAACCACTGGTGGCTTTTTGTTCTGCCCTTCTCGGTCTTGTACCATCTGGGTGGTGTGCCCGCTCTGATCTCCTTGCGTGGCCTACTGTGTGGAGTCTTGGCCAAGCTGCAAATGATGCTCAGTCCGGGGCCGTTGCGGTGGCTGCTGGCAGCGATTTCATTTCGGACCGGTCGGTAAGTTACGTTCAAATCCTATCAGGCCCTGTTAGATGTCTTTGTTTCGGCTTGGATCCCGGAAGCTGTTCACAGGATCTCCAAGCACCGACTCCAATGCCGACCAGAGCTCGTGTCCCTCGTCCTTTTCGCTGCGCTGCCTTTGCTGTACCGCGCTGTGGCCCAAGCGGATGCAGGTCGAGACAAGCTGAAGAGAGGCGTTGCTCCCTGGAAGAACAGTGCAAACTAGCGTGTTCCGGCATGCCAGAGCTTTACTCATGTTTCGGACCAGTGCAAATGGGAGAGATGCGGCACAACTTCGGAATTTGGTATTTGGTAGCTTACTTGTTGCAGATGTTGTCGAGTCAGTCGGCGTCATACGAGTGACGGTTCCAAACTCGCCAACGTGTCTTGTTGCAACTTTGGCGGAAGTCCGGCTTATGGATTGAGGTGTTTTGGCCGAAGGAGGTCTTGTGGATGTACGCCTGCGTGGTTGCAGCAGCGAACGTCCACTTCGGTGTGGTGCCCTGGCCGGCCCTTTGGCCGCACCGGAAATACCCGCGAAGGCCTGAGCCTCCAGCGACTGACGCACGGTTCTCAGGTTTTATGCTGCGGAGCCCTGCTAGCCGACGATCTCTTCGACCCGGGTGCCCCTGGATCCACCACCTGCTCCTGGCTGCGGGGTGTGAATCTGACACCAGTTCTGCGAGCAGTGCCAGTGCTGTTTCTTCCGTGCCTGGGGTCCCATCGAGCAGTCTTGGAACAGGGCTTCAGAGTTTGCGTGTTCGAGAGAGAAGACGAACCCAACATTGTAACTTGACCCTTCTTTTTTTTGGGCAGGTGCTTCAGCCCTCAACCGCTGGCCGGGCTGCATTATATCCTCCATCACCGACCTGGAAAATATGCAGCAACCAAGCATTTGACGAACCCCGAGCATCGTAGTTTCCTGGAGGAGTGGGAGGAATTCTACCGGGAGCTGCCAGCATGGAGCCGCGTCGATGGGTCCCAGCTTCACCGGCTGTTCTTTAGCCAATCTCCCTTGAAGCATGTGCCCTGGATCTGCGTGTACTTTGGTCTTGCCATCTTGGTAGTGGTTGTGTGGTTTCTTCGAAGCAGACAGAACAGACCTGTCGGCCTAAAATCGCCGGTCATTACACTGTCGGCGCTTGGAATCATGACGTACCTGGTGTACGACCGGACACGAACAGTTGTTTGGCCGGCTTGTTTCCTGACAGCAATGCTGGGTCGGAGCTCTTTGGCATCCTCTCAACCCCGGGGCGTTGTTGGTTTTTGTGTAAGCCTGGTCTTGTTTCTATTGTCCGTCTATCTCGTTCTGGGTGACTTTGAAGAGCCATCTTTCAAGTTGGTAACTATGAATTGGCCAGTGCGGTCTGCTGAGTTCGTCCACGGCTACAACCTTACAGGGAACATCTATCACACCATAACCTTTGGTGGTTACTTGCTATATTGGTTGCCAAATAAGCATTTCGCAGACACCCGGGAATATTGTTTCCAGCACCTGGACGAGCTGTACAAAAGTGTGTACCTGGACCACGTCCGTCTCCACCGCGACATTCTGCAAAAGCATCAGGTGAACATCTATGTCGCCCTGATCCCGAAAACTAGACGACTACCCATGGGAGGTTTCGAGGACGTTGCTGATAGGTTTCTTCCCAAGCGTGACTGGGCGAGAGTTTTCTTTGACCATGTGAGCGAAGTGTTTCTCAGGCGCTCAGTTCCCGAGTTTAAAGATCTTATTGCAGAGAGGGAGGTTTTCCTCAATCCTGCGTTTCCCCCTGATTACCATGTCCGTGTCCTTCTCGGAAGGGATGCAGGGAATCCCGAGCGATTGAAGCGAGACTTGGACGTGTGCTTAGCCAGGGGGGAGCTCTACTGTGAGTTGATCGAGGCTCTCCGAACCTCTACAACTGAGGGCACTGCAAGAGTTTCCTCGTGGCTGCAACGCCTGGAGGGCAAGGATCCACAGGACCTCAAGAACGAACGGCGGCTGACCCGTGAGTACTGTGAATCTGTGAAGATTCATCTTGGCAGGCAGTTGAACGGCACAAGAACGAGCTAGAGAATTTGCGAGACAGGTGTTGTTAAGGGGAGAGGGTCGCTTGAAGACTTGAGCTGCACACAGCTGCACCTCATGCTTTGCCTTCCGAGTGATGGCAATCAAGCAGCGAGCCAGGTGCGTTCCCACCGACATTTCCTGCAAGAGTACTAATGCTGGCCGGGCTATGTGGAGGGCCTTCCTGCATCGAGTGAGATCAGAGTTATGACGCTTGTGGGCGCTTCCGAGCAGTTCTGTGAAGACCGCCGCTACTGGTGCCTCCACGCGGTTGAGTCCTCTCACCGAGGGCATTCAGCATACCTCTGCATAGCTTCGGTGGCTGCTGCCTTCCGGTTGTAGGCTCTTCCCATTGATGTTCCTCTTGCGCAAACGCGAAAAGCAAGCCTTCTTTAGGGTTGTATGGTCTATACAGCGCGGCCTGGCCAGCTTCTGTACACCGACAGGACTGGCAGGCCTGATCCTGAGGCATTTGCCTCAGCTGCCCAGATGACTTTCAGCCACCGAGCACTGGGCTTGTTTCGAGGCCCTTCCTGTTGTCTCCAGTTCGACGGGAGCTGCGCGACTTCTCGTGCAGCCTGGCTGCGCGGTTGGTGAAGCGCCATTGGCAGGCTTTCTGCAAGCATTCTTTGGCTGACGTCATGAGATGGGCATGCCCGGGTTGCTTGGACAGATTGTTGCGATAGTTGGACTGCTCGTCGAGAGGCGGTCTTCAAGCGCTGGACTATGGTGTCCTGCGATGAGCCAACGAGGTCCCACTGTCCAGCTCTTCAAGCGTCTGCGCATGGTCAGACGAGTGACGTGAGGCTGGAAGATGCCCAGCAACCTCTCTTGAGCTCAGCAGGCCACAGTCTCCATCTTTTGGACATGCAGGATGAAGTAGGTGGTTCAACCATGTTCAACCTCATGCTCCTCTTCAGGCCGGCAATCTAGCCGGGACAGTTTTGCAGGGTACCGCGCACAAGGAACAGATCAGACCCGTGTTTGCGCACTTCCACAGCTTGCGGGGGCTACGCAGGAACAGCAGACGCAGGGGCGACTCCTGCAGGCAAGCGCTGAAACTGAAGCAGATTTTGCAGACTTTGTGTTGTAGCGTTGATCGAATCTCCTGCCGCAGGTGCGAATAGTGCCGCTGCAGAGTCGTGCGGCACCCAACCTGAAGCAACACAGCTTCCTTGATCATGATGCAGCTTGCTCTAAGGCGAAGCATGTGATGCATGTGCTGACATATGCAAGGACACTGAACCTGGAGCCAGACGAGACTCCTCGTGGCACTCCGGCCGACGCAGAGGTGGCCTTATCAGGAGGACTCACGAACAACTTGCATGAACAAGTTCTACTTGTAGCATGTAGAATGTAGTTGAATCTTTTGCAGTCCACCCGGAATGCTATCAGCAAGATGGTCTCTTTTGTGGAGGTGTTTGTTCAGCCTTCGCTGGCGAAGGGCATGCCGTTCCACAACGGCTTCCTCTACAAATTAGGCCGGTCGTGCTGACAGAGAGAGGAGCTAGTATGTGTCGTCATTGCGCGACATCGGGCACTGAGTGTGGAAAAAACCGGCAAATGGCATGCATGATTTATTTTGCGAGGCGATGGGCTTCTCAACACGGGCTGGAACTTGCGCTATTTTCTCCTGATAGGTTGAGCCTTGGTTCATGAAGTGCAACATAGCTTCAAAGTCAGATTGGTTCGAAACCGCAGGTCAGACGCTGCAGTACTACCGCAGCCAGCACGAAGCAAAGCCTCGCGATGCCATCTCCTTGAGCGCCTCAGCTGTAACATTGTCTATCATCAGATCGTGCTAACGTCGCCAGTAGCCGATATGCCAGCAGCTCGAAAGTCCAGCTGCGTCGACGAAGGCGGCGTGTCGGTGGAGTGGTCCCATGATGCCAGCCGACCCTTTACTTTCGTCGTGAGCAAGAGCACCTTGCCTTTCTCTGGGGCGTTGCCGATTTGTATGCTCTGTCAGCATGATGCCGGGAGTGTTTCATTTTGGGCAGTTTACTTGGGCGGAAGCTGACTTGCATGCAAGGGGTATGCACCGGTGAGGTGGTCAGCGCTCCTTCTGCCTGTCGGGCTGCACGGAGCGCGAGGCTTGCGAGTGGGTGGAGCGCATCCAGGCACGCGTTGCGGACATGACGGCCGTGCGTTCGCATGGGTTTTGTCCAGTATGTGCGGTGTGCAAGCAATGGGGTTTTCTGGAAGAAACCACAATCGCCCGGCCCAGCTTTGTTATGTTTTCTTCAGCATTGCAGACCGAAACGCGCACCAACCGGTCATCAGCGCACCAAGATGCCCGAAACGCGCACCAAACGGCTCCAGATAGATGACATGTGCAACCATTCTCCTGCCAGCTCTTCGACTCGACTCAGCCCGC